GACTGCCGTTCGTCACATTTTATAAGTAATAAAGAATATTTAAATCTTTGTTACAAGGTTAGCTTATATTGCATCACGTGCTTAAAGATAGCACCATAGTTTCTAAAACTACAATATTATTACGACCGCTGCTATAACTACAGTTGAGATAAGATTAGCTAATAACATCCCGAGTGCTATAAATCCACCGGCAGGTAGATCCTACACCTAAGCCTATATAAAGTTATTCTTTTAGGCACCGGTTTATACTCTCTCTCTTACTTCTTTGTATAATTATATATAATTATATTTACTATTTACCTTTTGCCTATCATAATTAATTATACTTCTTAATTATGATATTCATAGTATAAATTTCGTCTACTATTGTACAATTAATTCTATTAATTGCGCGACTATATAGGGATCGCTTCGCCAGATAAATAGTTAAATTTAGAATAAGTATTGCTAGTTATTTTACAATTGTTCAAAAATTGCTAATTTTTATTTTATAAATAAGGCCGGGTTGTTATAAGGCTAGATCATATGCTTTGTGCCTTACGTGCCATTGGCTAATATACTATTACGTATATAGCCATTGCCATTATAACAGGCTAGGGTGCATATGCCCAGACGGCCAAACCTATAAAAGATAGGACGATGTTCTGCTTGCAAGGCAGAACCTGGAATGCACACTATATAGCCAATGTCAACCTGTGACAGCCATAGTACTAAGATTAGCCTCAATATTATAAATATAGCATCGGAGCTCAGCTAGAGATTGAAGCTTGGTATAGGACACATCTAATACCTTGCCCTATATTAACCCTAGTAACGTAGTGGTCCGCCAGCGCCGTGACAATAATCCTTAATTTATTTAATAACGACAATACTTTTATCAATAATATTTATAAAGATTTATAACAAATAAAATAAAAGAAGAGGAAGGAAGAAGTAGAAGAGAAAAAGAAGAAGTTACTACTAAGTAAAAACGTATTAATTGCATTATTATTCTTCAACTTAAGCAATATTTTTATATTTTACTAATACTGAATATTCTACAATTAGTCAAGATATGAATGCCTTTTTTAATACTAGTATTTGATTTCGCCTTTTCATTCATGTTTTTATTTATACTATTATAAGAGCGCCGTTTTGAGAATATAACATAAATGAAAAACTAAAACTACTAATTAAGAAGAAATTCCGGCTACAAATGTAGAAGAAACATATTAAAAGAGCCGAGCTATATTTAACTCTGGCGGTACTAAATTCACATATATAATAAAGAAAATGCTAGATTGCTGCTTTTGTATATATAATTCTTAATCAAGTAGTTTATTAGCTTTCATGAATGCGCTGTAATTATAAAATGTGAAGTATAATATAAGAGTTTAATATAGGGATAGATCAAATTTGCACTAAAATTATATGTAGTCTGTTACAAATTTATTTCATATCTCAGATCATTTGCCATCTTCTCCTTGAAGAGAGAGGGGTGATGAGCCTTAGCGCCCAGCCAAAAGGCCTCCACTACACCCTCGTGTAACGCGGAAAGAGGAGACGAGGGCGGATCCTCTGCAGTCATTCATGCTCCACAGGTGGAGAGCATTTAGGGGCATTGCACTGTGTACAAGAAAGATGAGGCAACAACTACCCCACCAAAAGACAATGACCGGGTTCACCATCATCAACGGCACGGGTTTTACAAGAACTCCAAAGAGACTTGACATCGAATTGTAGTCACGGAATATCCTGCTACTATCGCTTGTAACAATTCCAGCTTGAATGGATGCGTTTGTACCACCGACTGCTCTGCACTGGCGATCCGGAATTGAGAAAGTTTGAATGCGGCTACAAATCGGTTTCTGCCGTTCCTTCCTTTTCGTTTTCCCCAATTTGCCCACCTGTCGTCATCCCGAGTTCCCCATCTCACCGCCCGACCGGGGTTAGGGGTGTGGGTGACAGCGCTTGGCACATGCGACTGTTAAGGAAGCACAGACCAGCTCTCCAGACAGCCAGTCTCCGCAGCCGCCGCAGGGCCGCGCAGGGGCCAACAACCGAGCCGGGACTGGTGTGTCGTTAACACCGTGAAATTTTTGGCCCAGCTTGAAGTTCCTGTCCCGGGCGCGGGTCTTTGACAAGCTTGGTCGGAACGGATATTTTCATATCGTCGGACAGCTCTCTCCCCCATCCTAAGCGGCATCCAACCAACCAGGCTCTGGGACCTTCAACTGGCGACAAACCCGCGTCCACCACCCATCCGCAACTTTTGTCCCCACGCAACACCACTGCAGTTGACGACACCATCCGTTGCGTCCTCGATTTCCACCCACAACCTCTCGTCATCCTTGTCCACTGCGACCGTTTACAATCATGGCCTCGTTTTCCACTGAGTCGCCTTTGGCGATGCTGCGCGACAATGCCATTTACTCGAGCCTTTCCGATGCCTTCAACGCCTTCCAGGAGAGGAGGAAACAGTTCGGTCTTTCCAACCCCGGCACGATCGAGACCGTCGCCCGCGGTGCGTTGCTGCCACACCATACAAATCCAGTCTTTGAAGATACCCGGCGTCGTCGGCGGGGAGTGCGCGGAAACAACATACCGTATGCTGCGGCACTCCATGATGCTGCGCCGGCCGGCTCTTCGTTGGAGTAATGGACAATCATTGCTGACAGCGCCTTGACAGAGGTCCAACGCGATACCCTCCTCACCAACTATATGTTCTCCGGCCTCCGCGCCGACGTCACCAAGGCTTTCAGCCTTGCCCCTCTGTACGTTGGTTCATTCCAGTTGTCGGTTAGGGATCATTGAAGGAATTGCGTTGCGAATTAGGGACATTGTCTGGTTTGCGCATGCGTTCCTGTGGTTCTGAGCAGCTATGGTCCTTGCAAATCTTCCTCGAATAACCGCTGACCTATAACCCAAGCTTCCAAGTTTCCCACCAGTTTGCTATGGGCGAGAGGCTGAACCCTTATGCCTTTGCCGCTCTCTACGGAACCAACCAGGTATGCTCTCGGAGGATACACGATACTAGAAGGGCCAGCTCCTAACCCGCATAAACAGATCTTCGCTCAGGGTAACCTCGACAACGAGGGCGCTCTCTCGACAAGGTTCAACTACAGGTGGGGCGACAGGACCGTCTCCAAGTCGCAGTTCTCGATCGGCGGCGGCCAGGATATGGCCCAGTTCGAGCACGAACACCTTGGCGACGACTTCACTGCCTCCCTCAAGGCTATCAACCCCTCTTTCCTCGACGGCGGCCTCACCGGTATCTTCGTTGGCGACTATCTCCAGTCCGTCACTCCCAGACTCGGCCTCGGTCTCCAGGCTGTCTGGCAACGTCAGGGCCTCACTCAGGGCCCCGATACCGCCATCTCCTACTTCGCCCGCTACAAGGCCGATGACTGGGTTGCTAGCGCTCAGCTGCAGGCTCAGGGTGCTCTCAACACTTCCTTCTGGAAGAAGCTTACGGATAGAGTCCAGGCTGGTGTTGATATGACCCTGTCTGTCGCTCCCTCTCAGAGCATGATGGGTGGTCTTACCAAGGAAGGCATCACCACCTTTGGTGCCAAGTACGACTTCAGAATGTCCACCTTCAGGGCTCAGATCGACTCCACGGGCAAGCTTAGCTGCTTGCTCGAGAAGCGTCTTGGTGCTGCCCCTGTCACCTTGACCTTCGCTGCTGATGTTGACCACGTCACTGTAAGCTAATTGCCCTTTCCATTCTCGTCTTGCGCCTATGCTAACCCCCTTCAAGCAACAAGCCAAGCTCGGCATGTCCGTCTCCATTGAGGCGTCTGATGTCGATCTCCAGGAGCAGCAGGAGGGTGCCCAGTCCCTCAACATCCCCTTTTAAACTGAAATATGTATATCCGGGATGAAGAACACTGGTTGATTGAGCCAGCATTTGGTTTCCACTCTACCCTTGCACTCTACTCATTGTGTTGACAACGTAATATAATCACACACGATGGCCCCCAAGTACCAAAGAACAGAAAGGCTGAGGGCCATACCTCTTCACATCCCCTCACCACCAGCGCCATATCTGTCTTTGATCCCATCCTCATCACATTACTTAGTACGAACCGGTCACGGCAAGTTGCCATAAGAAAAATCAAAAGTCGGATGTTGCGAACCTCTCCCTCGCAATGGTTCCGCATGGCTTGGGTCTTTGCATACAGCTCACACGGAACGATAGACATCTCTCACCACATTTTCTCCTTTTGAAAAAAAAGCTTCCCCTCGCGCTTTTGCATCTCATCACTTGGCGCTTTTTATCTTTTGGTTTTCCTTGGGAGAGGGAAAAAAAAGGGAGGGGGGGAGCTTTTTTCTGTATTATAGACAGGTCAATCAGGGAAGGGCGTGTAGCATGTCTCTGTGGTCTGCGCATTTCTCTGGGTTGACTGAGTGTACTTTGGGGACGGTCAGCATGTTTGTGTCATGAATATGAAGAAGGTTTACATACGACATGTACGAGGTTTGATGAAGAAGTAAGAGCGAGGCATTGTTTGAAATGTCGAGAAGCGGTTGAAGCATACTGCACTTGTTGTCATCGATGTATTTTGTTCCCCCTAGTAGTACTACACTAATAAAGGTGTACGTAGTCATGTCATCAGTGAACCAGTGTAAACATTCAAGCACATGTTGGAAACGGTCTCAGATTTGGTAGGAAGAGGATATCATACTACATGATGCGATTAACTTGCGATACCCCCCTTTGGATCTCTTTTCCAGATCCGGATAGGACCAAGCAGCACAGTCGTGATAATGATTTTCTTTTTAAAATAATGCATAAAAACAGTTGACAATAACCACCAAGCTCCAACAATCCATCACCATCTCATTCCATCCACGCATCGTTGATTCGTTGCCCGAATATCACCAAAAAAAGACTTCTCCAACAATGGCTCTGTTACCTACTACCTACATCAACAGACCATTTAGCCTGCAACTTCAAGAAAGCGGGATTGTAGTATAGTGGTCAGTACTTCTCGTTGTGGTTCGATTTCGATCATACAACGATCCGAGAGGACCCAGGTTCGATTCCTGGCAATCCCATTCTTTTTCCTTTTTTTGTCGTGTTCACCTCCAACGTAGATGGGAAATCTTCAAGGTGATTTCCTGTGTCGGTTTTTGTTTTATTTTCAGTTATTTATTCTTCTGTCTTTTGCAGATTCATCTTCGATGTCAAATCGGTAGACGAGAAGTAGAAAGCCGATGGATGATTGTAAGTTAGCAAGCATGAGAAATGCGTCTGATCGAGGCCGCATCTTTTGGTTTAAGAAGTCGTCAACTGCCACTCTTTGAAGGAAACTATACCATGGGTTCTCGGTGAAACCTTCGAGGAGAATTATCCTTCTTGCTTTCTCTCTCGTCTTGGGTGGACCAGACAGCGCAGTACTCAACAACCGTGATTACAGTCACAATATCTCAAGCCATATATATCTTTCTGTACTAAAACCACAAGCTCTCATTAGGACAATCATAACATAAAAGCACAGACAGACAGACGCCAATAACAAATATTGCTTCTCGGCGAGATCTAGTAGTAATTCTCCCAGTTTTCATTTGCCTTCTTCGCCTTGTATATGCATTGGAAGAATCAAGAGAGCCGAAAACATGATCTCCACAACAAGCAGAAAGATGAAGGGAAGAACAAGCAGCGGATACACCAACGCCATGCCATGATGTTAACGAAGAGCAGTTTCTAACCGCTCAACGTGGAAAATGCTTTATACAACCCAACCCAACCAGCCAGCCCCGGAGAATGCACCGTCCCACCCTGTCGTCCTGTCGTCCTGTCGTCCTGTCCATCCCTCCCACCCCGAGAAAAGGAAACTAGAAAACCATTAAACCCGTGCGCTGAAAAATCCTCACATGACAGCGCACTCCCGATCAGGGACGCCATCCTTGCCTGTCTCCTTAGTCTTGCCCGACTTGTCTCCCTTCTCTTTCTTGCCTTCCTTATCCTTGCCCTTCTCCTTCGTGTCCTCCTTATCCCTACCCTTGTCCTTCTTAGACTTGCGGTAGTGGTGGCCCAGATGATGATGGCCTTCCTTCTCTTTCTCCTTATCCTTATTCTTCTCCTTCTGATCCTTATCACTCGCATCCTCAACCTCCTTGGCCTCCGGTTGCTGCTCATCACTGCCCCCTTCCGATGAGTTACCAGCACCGTTGGCGCTATCCTTGTTGAGAGTGTCCCTACTGGGCCGCGACAGGCCAAATCGCGACATGGTAAGGCTAATGCGCGTCTCGCCGGCTTGACTGGTGGGTCGTGATTTGTTCTTGAACTTCGCCGCTGCCCGACCGAGTCTCGTTGCGGTACTCTCCCCTTCTGGTGTAGGAGGTGGCATTGATGGCGCGCCTACATCACTAGGTGTAATGGCTGTTGTTGCCGTGGTATCAGAGACCGCAAGGCTGCCGCGTCTGGATCTGTCTGCCCTCAAATGCCCGGCGCTTCCTGTTCCATACGGGTCATCGTCAAGACTGAGACGTGCGGGCCGTTCAAGCTCTGTACTAAAGCGGATGTTGGGACCGCCACCGTTGTGCACGAGGGTTGACGCGGAGTCAAAGTAGCCACTAATCGACCTTGACATCCCGCCCGGCCGTTCCGGAAGGGGTTCCATGCTGGGCGTCCCGGGTACAGCGGCAATCACAGTGGTCGACTCGTTGTAGGATGGTGGCTCATTAACAGACCCATCACTAGAGGCTGTAGCGACGTCCACCATCGGGACGATCTGATAGAAGAGCAAATATGGCATCTCTTGTCTCAGAGAGTCTCTAATGTCGTCGACGTAGGACACTCGGTTGTCCAGATCCAAATCGTCGAACTTGACCCACTGTGCCTCCTCGTAATCCGGCGGCGGGTCATGTTCATATCGGCGATTGTCAGTGAGAAGTTTCGGTGCCACGCGGGCAAATGAAACATAGTGACCACTGTGAAGAGAGTCACCACGGTGGCAGACGACGGACTGAAGCACGAGCTTGTACTCCTGGCTTAACCCATTGGATTGCTTCTCATCATCATCTGGCATCATGAAGTGTGGCAGGCGCATGGAGTCAGGGATGTCGATGAGAGTATTCTGTCGAATCGGGAACCCGGTTTCTGTCATGGTATACCGTTTCAAGCAGATGCCCCACCGGCCGCTGGCTAAAATGCCGTGCAACCTCAACATCGTTGCTTGGTTCACCGGTAGAAGCCGTCGCATGCCATGCTACATCAAGCTTGTTAGTTGACCAATCCAATTCCATGGGATTTCTATTCTGGGTGTCACACGTACGGATTAACCTGAAGAACTGCCAGGCAGGTATCGTCACGGCCTTGACCACGGTTGAGCTCGTTCTTTTGGCCTTCTGGAACAGAGTTTCATTCTCTGCATCCAACGGGGGCTTCCTGTCCTCTACCACGATACGCTGTATAATACTAGTAGAGCGGTGTCGGGGTGCTGCTGGTAGCTCGGGTCTCGCCGAAGTGATATCGAGCATCGAGAATGGAGTGCGTGTCGTCGAATCCTGTGATGTCCATCTTCGTTGCAGATGTGGGCTGTTGTCGCCTTGGTCGCTCCCTTGACCATCCTCGTCCTCGCTTATCAACCGGACAGTTTCGCGTGGGAGGGGCCCCTTTTCGTCATCCCCCTTCTTTTCCTCTACACTGTCCCGGAAAACGTCAACCTTGTTGTTGAAATACTCTTCGAGACAATCCTCCAGCTTGATACCCTTTCCGTCAGGATCTGGGGGAACAGCGAGGTTGAGTAATCGCTCGTGGACAACCTTGTGGTCGTCTTCGTCCTTCTTGCCTTGATGAAAGAGGTCGACCTGGAGTGCGAGGAGCGGTAGTTGCAAGGTTTCTGTGATGAAGGCGAATGCCTCCGATGTGTCTTGTTGTTCAAGTTCCTGGGCCTCCTCCCATCCACAGGCCGCCAAAGATTCTTGGATAAGCTGGGTCTAGAGAAACACCGTCAGTCCCGGGAGTCGAATCCACGGTCATTGTCACGTACCATGTCTGTATGTATCAACATCCCACTCCTGAGCATGTTGACCCATAACCTTAGGAGTCCTGCAAGCCTTCGCTGGTTTTCATCTGCCGGATCGTTCTTCAGCATGCATTCGAAGGCTGAAAGCTTCGCGAACATGGCAAATAACAAGGCGTCGAGGTAGCAGGTGACATTTCCCCGGTTTTCCGCGCCTTGCATGCTGATCTTGGGATTGTATGGTTGTATGATCCCAGCAAAGGCCTTTTGTTGGAGTCGTATGAGCTCGATCGCTTTGTCAACATCCCCATTGGCGAATTTGGAATTCAGTGAGAACCGGACCACTTCTTCTGAGATCTCGGTGTAGTTGCGCTCTTCCAGCTGCTTGGTGACTTCGGCTATCTGTAATGTATCGTAGGCACATCAGTAACCTGCCTCGTAGCAGCCCCGGGAAGATCATCATACACATACCTTTGCGGCCTCCTTTTCCACCTCTTCTTTTTCTCGTAGTGCCTGCTTGACAGATTCGGGCCTGAACACGGAAAACCATGACATGTCACCCAGGGGTCGGCTCTGTGTAAAGTCAGATGCTGAAGACGGAAAAGCGGTAAGAATAGAAAGAATGGGCAACGGACCCTTGGACCTGGACCTGGTTCTGTAGATTTGTTTCTACGATGAGTACCATTTTTGTCACGTACACTTCGAAACTTTTTGGGCACCAAAGAAGTGGTTTTGGTGCCCTTGAGTTTCTCCATGATGGATCCTGGAAGATTTCCTGGACGAGCCGAAGGTTAGATAATCGAAGCTGAGCGGTTGGGCTATATCAGGCTGTCAGGATAGGTGGTGCTTTCTCAAATCGTTCTGGTTCATGATCTGGAAACCAGAGCAGTTGAGGAGGACGATAATTGGGCGTCGGCAGGTCGAGAGAGCCCTGATAGGCAGTGATGGTCGAAGAGGTCACGGCCCTGTTCAAGGTCTGCTGAAGTCCCTATTGGGAAGCTAGGTACGCCAAGGTACGCGCGAATTGGAAGATAGGTTTGCGCATATGTAGGGTTCGGCGGTAAGGCAGGGTTCGTAGTACGCAGACGGCGAGCGATAGAGGTCGAGGTTCGGACGAGGGCAGGCTTATGACGACGTCAAGAGCACGGACAGACCGACGGGAAGAGAGTCTGGGGAAGCGGGATGCGAAAAATAAGATGGAAGGTCCAAGAGATAAGCTGAAAGGTACGCTTGGTACCGGATATCTATGGGGTCCCCGCTTTCCTAGCTCGGGGTCCTGGACTCCTCTGGGGATTGCGTCTTCGGACTGTAGGTACGTAGAAGTACTTGTTAGATCATATTTGCACAATTCCGTTCGTCATGCGTGAGGGTAATGCCCTGGGGCCCGGCGGTGCTTGGAAGAGGATGTCCGCTATCGAGCGAGCGCGTTGACGAAAGCAAGCCTCACTGAAGGCCCAAAAAGCTTGCTGCGCCTGGATATGTCGCAGGATGCATAGAGGTATGATGGTGGGGGTAAACATACCTCGAGGAGGGGTTGTGTGGTCTGGTTCCTGTCCTGTCGAACGCGGTCGCACCGACAGTGGGAATGTTCAAAAGATAATGGAAAGATTCCCAGGAGGACGGACGGCCTAGCCCCTGACGCATGACGGGGTGCGTGGTTGGGGCTCTGTTAGCGTAATCATTGCTAGAATGGGCCTAAACAGATCGACATTAAGCGGACTAATAGTCTACGCCGCGCATGGATCACGCGGCTGATTGGTTGCGCGGGGCAGTGACGAACATCCAAAGTGGAAAGTCGAGACAACACCTGATTTCCGTCTCCTAGCAGCTTTCTTTCTCTTTCATGCAAAATGGAGAACTGCCATGGAATCTTCCATGCAGCAAACAAACATTGGCACATTTCTAGAAACGAAGACGAGGTATCCACCATCAACACACAGCCAGCTCTGAAGCCTTCCATCCGATGGACAGCTCTGTACTGTAATCTGATGCCTAAACCCTGATCCCATGTTTCCCAGTTTTCAGAGGTGCCTGACCTCTTAATGGCCCTGCCATTCGCAATTCATCACGTTCCCGGTCTTCCCGCGGAGGATGGACGGCGCATGGCTCGCTAACATAGGCAATTGAGTTAGTATCTCTCCGAGTACGTGGATGCCCATTCTGCTTACATGTCTAACTTGAGAGTTTCTGGCAGAATTCCGATATGGCGGCCGACGTTGAACATCATGGTCCCCTTTCTCCAGTTTATCTGTCAACGTTTCTCTTCCAGGCAAGAGATTTTCATTGGTGTAGCATCGCTAGCGCAGCGCAGCTGTCATTCCGCTGCCAGTGGAGGCAACACGCGAACAGGGGGGTGCCATGGCCTTGAATCCCCTCGTTGGGTCCAGCCCCAACAACCTTCGCGGCGCCAAATGGATCCAAGATCCGCTCATGTCCCGCTGAATGACGCCTCCCAATGACGTTGGCTCTCATACAGGGGGCTCGTCTGAGACCTCAAACGTTGGATTTTCAGAAACCCAGCCGTACTATCCTTATGTCACAGGAGCCTAGAATGAAGACGCTGGCATCTTTTGCTGTCTGCCTTATTCCAAGGTTAGCTGTTATTGGGTTACCTCTCCGTGGTAACGAATACGACGAGCAGCTCAGTCTCAAACGTAACGCACACAGGTACGTAACCACTGGTGCTTCTTGTGGGTGTTGTGACCAGTTTCTAGGCACCAAGGTGCGCTGTGCGATATTACTCACATCGTAGGTGGAACTCGATGGGTTGATGACTGGGAGCAAACGAAGTCGAGGTTCGTACATTTTGACCTAGGATATAAAGTACCGAGGTGATACGGGCAAGCCTCGATGTGGAAAAGCTCTGCGGCTTCTCCGCAACCAAGGTACTGTTTCGGAAGCAGAAGCCTAAAGAGATCGAAACATGGGCAAGCATAGAACTGTAGAATGTTTTGGTGTTGACGGGTCTCAATGACACAGGCACACACACTCCCAGAGCTAAAAAGGCAGTGGAACTACGGGAATTCCTCTTGGAGCATCAATGCACCAGGACAAGATCTCGTTGTGGAGCAAAAGCATGTATCTCCCTAGCTCTATGCTAAACTTTGCGAACAAACTGACTGTTGATGGACCGTGCAATGATAGAGGTGGTGAGTACCGGATATAACAAGACGTTTCCATCATTGACATCAAAAATACAAATTTCAGCATGTGCATCGACAACGAACTTTCACAATCCTACCAGTCTTCGGATCTGGCCGGACAACGTTAAAAAAGCAATCGATCAGCTCAACTGAATGGCGCTGGGGTCTTCTGTCGCGAGATCCATCCGAGTCTCGGAACTGTCACTGCTGTGGTTCGATGATCAAGATGCTTGGCGGGTCTTCCCCGCAGTGCCCGCTTCCTCAGCTCGCCGTTCGGTTACCCTGGCGCCCAGGCGCTCTCCACACCCCAAACAATCGACTCCAATGACTGCCGGCGGAAACATTGTGCCTCGGCTTCGGCATGGATGGGCTGGCTCCTTAATCCGGGGTAGATCGTCTCTCCCCGGAGAGAAGACCAGCTTTAGTAATCGTCGCCCATAATCGAACGACATTCCCATGAAAGACTGCCTTTCCTCTCATTCTTCCTTTGCTGTTAGCAGACCTGATTGACCATATAGGATCCTTTCTCCCCCATCAGAAACCACCACTTTCTCCTCTTTGCTTCACCTGTTGTTGATCGACATCAACGCCCAATCCAAACATCATCATGTCTGCCCAGATTCCCATCGCTGTAAGATTTCTCTCCGTGCCTCATCTCACCGACTTCAATTACTGAATATTTCTCGTCTGCTTTAGGTTTGCGATCGTGTTAGCGAGCGAGCCAAGAAGACGCTGGACGTCGTTGCTCGCTTCGTTGAGGAGGACTGCATCCCGTAAGCATCATCTGCATGGATCCGGTTTCTGTTCGTCAAGATATATGTCTAACACCGGCCTGTCACAAGTGCCGATGCTGTCTACGAAGCCCTGATTGGCGTTGGAGATGCGAGATGGGAGGCCCACCCCCAGATCGTCGAGGATCTCAAGGACAAGGCAAAGTCTTTGGGCCTGTGGAACATGTTCCTCCCCAAGGGTCACTATAAGGAGTCCCCTGGCTTCACCAATCTTGAATATGGCTTGATGGCTGAGTGGTTGGGCAAGTCCCGCGTTGCCTCCGAGGCCGTCAACTGCGCTGCCCCCGACACCGGCAACATGGAGGTTCTGGCCAAGTATGGAAACGAACAGCAAAAGGCCACATGGTTGAAGCCTCTTATGGACGGCAAGATCCGTTCTGCCTTCTTGATGACTGAGCCCCAGGTGGCCTCTTCGGATGCCCGCAACATCGAGATGAAGATCACCAAGGACGGCGACCATTATGTTCTCAACGGCCAGAAGTGGTGGTCGAGCGGTGCCGGTGACCCTCGCTGCAAGGTCTACATCGTTATGGGCAAGAGTGACCCCAACAACAAGGATCCCTACAGGCAGCAGTCCGTCATCATCGTTCCCTCGGACGCCAAGGGCATCACCATCGAGCGCATGCTTTCCGTCTATGGGTATGACGATGCTCCTCACGGTCACGGCCACATTACCTTCAACAACGTTCGCGTGCCAGCAGCCAACCTCGTTCTTGGCGAGGGCCGAGGATTCGAGATCATCCAGGGTCGTCTGGGCCCCGGTCGTATCCATCACGCCATGCGCACGATCGGTGCCGCCGAGAGGGCCTTGGAGTGGATGCTCATGCGCATCAACGACCCCAAGAAGACCACCTTCGGAAAACAGCTGCGGGAACACGGCGTCATCCTGGAATGGGTTGCCAAGTCTCGCATTGAGATCGATTCCGCCCGCCTTATTGTGCTCAACGCCGCCATCAAGATGGACGAGCAAGGGCCCAAGGCGGCACTCAAGGAGATCGCCCAGGCCAAGGTCCTTGTACCACAGACGGCTTTGACTGTCATTGACCGCGCTGTCCAGAGCTTCGGTGGTGCTGGTGTCAGCCAGGATACTCCCTTGGCTAACATGTGGGCTCAGATCAGAACCCTCAGGTTGGCTGATGGTCCGGATGAGGTCCATCTGCAGCAGATGGGTCGTAACGAGAACAAGCGCGGCAAGGCCGTAACGGACAAGATCAACGCCCAGAAGGCCAAGGCGGAGGAGCTGAGGAAGAAGTATGGTGCCAAGCGCACTGAGATCGGGTCGAACATCAAGCACTCCAAGCTTTGAGTTGCGCGGTCCTGTTTAGCCATTGTTGAAGCGTTCCAATGAGATCTTTTGCCCATCCGTTTTTCTGACAACCTTGCGTGTGTACGTTGAGTAAAGTTTTTGCTGGCTCTGGGGAGATTGTGACATGTCGAAGCTTGACACAGAGCCTCGGTTGCCTGGTATTTGTTAGTGTAGCGCACACTCACCTGAGACGAGACATAAGACTACCACCGTTCATTGTTATCATGTTCCTCCCTTCAACATCGTTCCGTTCCGATGTTTCGGTTTGCAGACCCCAGATTCTGTTTAGCCATCTGATCCTGAAGCGTCTATGCTCATTTGTTTACAATGTCGTAAAAAATAGCCCGCCAGGCCGGTATGTTTATCGATGCTGTGAGGAGCATGACAACACAGAAGGTCCAGACGCATGGACCACGTTCCTGCGTTGGGCAGGAGCGATCAGTGATGATGTCTTGTGGGTCCAGCAAGGGAGGGACATCAAGCTGGAATGAACGACCCGTTGCCCGGTCACTGTCGCCCAATCCGGCAGTCTGTCAACAAATTTTACCACCGACACAACGGCTACTGTTACCAGCATTCTACATGGCAATTCCTTAGTCCATTGCCCTTTATTAGATTCTTCACTTCACTTTCTCCTTACCGATCTTCAGTAAACTCAAAATCCAACAAACACAAAGCCCTTTCGGACCCTGACAAGATCAAACCACCCACTGTTTTGCCGATCTTTCGCCCGACTTGCCCCGCGCATCAACATTCACCTCGAAAGTCGCATCAGGTTCACTCCCAAAACCTTGCGCCCCGCCTTTGAACTGAAGAAAACCAAACCTGTTCCAGACATTACTCTCTCTTCACTTCGATAACAGCAACTTTTGGAACGCAATACCCATTCTTGGATTTCCCTGCCTAACCACAATCTCGCGTACATCACCCGCATTCCCCCCCAACCAACACCCAAATCACCAACACCACTTCTGCGACCAAGATGTCTACCAACACCATCTTATTTCCCAAAGACGCCAACATGGCCATGGATACCACTACAACCTCCAGCGAGCCCATGGACATGGACATGACAACCGAACAAAAGCCCAGCTTGTTTGCCGCCCCCTCAGCGGACAACAAGATGGCCGACATGTCAGCAGCAGTCACCAAGTCGGACTCGATGAAGACCTTGGAGTACCACCGCCAGGTCTTGCAAAACAAGATGGAGATTGAGTATGCCACCTCCCTCTTCCCATATACGGGTATCGTCAAGCTAATACAATTATTGTACAAAGCCACACCAAGTACGTCTCGCCGTCGGACAACATCATGAGCCCCTGCACTGCCAAGCTCAGCGCCTTCCGCAGCAAACAGGCTGGAAAGTATGTTATGTCACCTAACTAAACGCCCCACGACGAAGAGGATGATGCCGATGACGATACCCTCAAAATGTGTTCAAACGTGCAGTTATGCTAACACGCTGCTTTTCCCCCCAAACAACAGGGTCAAGCCGAAGTCGCTCTTCGCCCAAGCGTCGGCTAAGAAACTCGAGGGTACGACCGCCACCGGCAACACTGGCTCCGTAGGCGCCACGGGTCCCGTCAATAACGGTCTTTTCGGAGTGAAGAAGGATTAGACGGACGGACGACTGTTACGTCCACTTGTTCCCTTTCGATTCGACTCCTTGTTTTACATCTTTTATGGGCGCTCAAGCATAGCAGGCCCGCGCTACGTTGGCTTACAACGGACATTAGCGAGTTTGCATCTGGCTAGCAACGTCTTTGTGGAGGCCGGTTTGTTTCCTATGCGCTTTCGTCATCAGGGGAACGAGAGTTCACAGAGATCTCTGTCACGGAGGGGTTATATCTGTTTTATTGCGTGTTGCAACTAGGGCGTTGGGGCAAAATGGCTTCGAGGATTCAAGTGTTTTTTTTTCTGTTGTTTCACGGCAGCAGCTATCAGAGTGGGAAGGGAATCATGGGTTAGGAATGAGAGCAGGACTACAAAGATGGGTTATGTATGGCGCCCAGAGGGCGTCTGTTATGAACGATGGAATGATAACGACAAGGCAGTTAGCAAGATGAATTCTACACAATGGTCACGAACGTCGTTGTCTTCCATTGGAGACAGCCTGATTAAGTGAACGTGTGATGGTGATGAAAACATTTGACATTTTTTTTCGACAGATCGATCTGTCTTGCCTATACCGCAACACATCAACCAACTAAGCCTTCCACCCGCTGACTATATACACGACGTCCTCATCCGCCACCGGATGACCCAACCCCACCCTCTGGGGGATATGCCTCGCGCTGGCGCCCCAGACGAGGGCGTACTTGAAGGTCTCCTTGAGCGTCCTGTGAATGCGATCGCACACGTCCTCGATAGTGCTATTACTCCTCACAATCAGAGCCTCGCTAAAGTCCGGGTCGGTGCCCTTGCGCTTGGTGTAGATGCGGATGAGCTTGAGCTCCTTCCAGCAGCGGTCGATGACGTCCTGGATGCCGAGGTCGAGCTCGCAGGACATGACGCAGGTGTAGGGCTCGCGCGCGAGTTTGTCGAGGAAGTCCAAGGACACACTGTCGATCTTGTTGTACACGTACAAGCACTTGATGTACTTGCGGTGGTCCTTCATAATCACGTCGATGAAGTCGTCGACCGTCACGTTCTCATCGCGCACCAGGACTTCGCAGTTGAGGATCTTGTAGTCGCGCAGAATGTTCATCACCATCTTCTCGTCGAGGCCGTTCTTGGGAGGTGTTTGGAAGGTGATCTTCATGCCGCCGGCCTTTTTGGGTTTGAGGTAGATGTTTCTGAGGAGAAGGATGTTAGCTTGGCAGGGCCGGGGAAGGAAGGAAGGCGACGACAACAATAATCATCAAACCCACAACACCAGAAGGGTTTAAAGACTTACGGTGGCTCGCGGTTAAGTCTGATGCCTACAGCCTCCAACTCGGCCTCAAGGAGGGCCCTCTGCTCAGCACGTTTTGTGGCGTCCAGAACCATGAGAATAAGGTCGCTTGTCTTGGCGGCCGAAATAACCTGTCTTCCTCTACCCTTGCCTTCGGAGGCACCCTCGATGATACCGGGCAGATCGAGCAGCTGGATTTCGGCACCGCCATATTCGAGCACGCCAGGAATGGCCGTGAGCGTCGTGAAAGCGTAAGAGGCGACTTCGGACTTGGTTTTGGTGACCTTGGACAAGAACGTCGATTTACCGACTGAGGGGAAGCCGACCAGTGCTATACGAGCATCGCCACTTTGCTGACGTCGAAACCGGCACCGGGACCGCCACCTGAGCCCGGTCCTGGCTCGAGTAGTTGGGCACGGAGACGGGCAAGCTTTCTGTGGGTGATTGTTAGTATCAGGAAACATCAAGGATGTACTAGTGTAGACTTACTTACCCCTTCAAGAGACCCAGATGGTATTCTTTGGTTTCACCAGGTCAGCACATGTTGTGAAGTACGGGTGAAGAAAAGGAGGTTAAGCATACCAGTTGCCTTATTCTCTGTAACACTATGTTAGCACCAATGATTCTTATTTCAAAACATATGTATAGGGGAGTGGACGTACTCTGGGTCTTCCTCATCTCCTCCTCAATCCTTGTGGCTCATGGTCAGCTTGACCGGCTCCATCAACCCAATCACTCAGGCACCGGGGGAAGCATCGATGTGTAACTTACTCCTTGATCTTTTCCGTAATGTTCACCATCTTGGCGATTTAGGACAGTTCTGTCCTTGGTATAACTCTAACAAAAACAAGGATGAAGTGAGAAAACTCAAGGTAAACACCAGACTGACAAGCTGGTGAGAAACGAAGTGGCCCTGAAAGTGAAATTCAAGGTTGATGAATTACACGCTGTAAGAAACAGTAACATCCAAACATATCAGTGCGCACCCCCACGTTCCTAAAAGTGGCAGAATTTCCCAGACAGGAGGGGCAACAGAGGTGGGTTTTGCCGTTCACCGCCTTCCAGAGACCCACACAATCTGCGGGAATGGAGTGGGTCTCTGCAGGTCGGCCCAGGAACTGCAAGGCTTGGAGATTCTCCAAAAGCCAACACCCTGGAAACTCTGAAAAGGTGTCTGTGCTTTTGCGACTTGGCCTGGACAAACAAATCATCGACCAAATCTGGCGTCATTGTCTTTTTTCCACTTCTCATCGCAATTGCAGCATACGCACCCGCTACACTTCTGCTACCCTCGCAACTGAACCTAATACACGTGCGAATCAAGGCCAATTGGACTTTCATATCCATCTCCGAATCGAACCGTACCTGGAATTCCAATCCGACGCAACCATGGCCGAAGTCGACACAAGGCCAGAGGAGCCTGTCTCCGCCGTGATCGAGCAAGCGCAAGTCGGAGAAGACGCGACAGACGCGCAGACACAGGAACTCGCCCTCACTACAACCAACACCGAAGTCGTCGCCCCAACTGAAAAGAAGGTCAAAAAGATCATCCGGCGCAAGAAGAGACCGGCGCGACCCCAAATCGACCCGGCGCTGGTCAAGTCCGAGCCGCCCCCGCAGACAGGAACGACGTTCAACATCTGGTACAACAAGTGGTCAGGTGGCGATCGCGAAGACAAGTACCTGTCCCAGACACACGCCAAGGGAAGATGTAATATCGCTTTGGATACCGGATACACGCGCGCGGACGGAGTGGCAGGATCGTTCTTTTGTCTGTTCTTCGCGAGGGGTGTCTGCCCCAAGGGCCAGGATTGCGAGTACCTCCATCGACTACCGACCATCCACGACATTTTCAACCCCAATGTTGACTGTTTCGGGCGCGACAAGTTCAGCGACTATCGCGACGACATGGGCGGTGTGGGCAGCTTCAGCAGGCAGAACCGGACGATCTACATCGGCAGGATCCACGTCACAGAAGACATCGAGGAGATCGTGGCGCGTCACTTTGCTGAATGGGGGCAAATAGAGAGAGTGCGTGTGCTGAACACGAGAGGTGTGGCGTTCGTCACTTATTCGAACGAGGTGAGCAATTGTTCTTAGGATCAACCCTTGGAGTATGGAACTCGGCACTAATTCATCGGTTACAGGCAAATGCTCAATTCGCCAAGGAAGCGATGGCACATCAGTCGTTAGACCACAACGAGATCATCAACGTTCGATGGGCGACAGTGGATCCCAACCCCATGGCGCAAAAACGCGAGGCGAGGCGCATCGAGGAACAAGCTGCGGAGGCCATCCGACGAGCCCTGCCGGCCGAGTACGTTGCCGAGATCGAGGGCAAAGACCCAGAGGCGCGGAAACGGAGGAGGATCGAGAGTAGCTATGGCTTGGAAGGATACGAGGCGCCAGACGAAGTACATTTTGCCCGGGGAAAGAATGCGGTGAACCCCAGGGGTCGCGAAGGGTATGAGCTTGAGGATCAGCAACTGCTGATGCTCGAAGCTGGGGAGGCTGGAGGGTGGGGACAGGAGCAGGAAAATGAGGCACAACCCCAAGAACAACAACAGAGTTCCGGTGGAATTTTGTCTGGAAGCACCCTTGCTGCGCTACAGGCTGCTAGAGTGGCGGTTGCGGAGAAACCGAAAGCGCCTGTCTCGGCGGGACCGCTGGTGGCTTATGGTAGTGATGATGACAGCGACTAAGGCATGAATGGGAAGAGAGCTGGTATTTTTTGGTCATAACGATAAGAAAACGAGGCAACAGGACTGCATCGGGATCATTGCATAGAAAGAGCATGATGCTAAATTAAGAGCGTTCGACCATATACCGTACAAGTTTGTTTGCCACATACATTGATTTGATCCCTCCACCCTCCCCCCTTTTTTCCAAAGTAAAAACAAAAAACCGGCTTCTTACATACAACCTGATAAGCACCCCCTTCCCCTTTTAACTATTAAAAATCCTCGAATAAAGCACCTCATGCCTGCCCACCCACAAATCCATAACCGGCACGCTCTGCCCAGCCTTCTCCACGCCGGTTTCCCATTCCCTCTCCACCATCGCCGCAATCATCTCCTGCGCCGCCCTACTCGCCAGCGTCTTCTGTGCCTGATAAGGGCCAAACATGCCCGCCCTCACCGCTGCGCTCACCAGCGCCTTCACATGGCTCAGCAAGTAAACATAAGCCGTCTGCTCCAGCGATAGCCCGACCAAGGCGCAGATGGCCCCGAAAAGGGGCGGGAGGTGAGCAGAGACTGGTGGCGGGTCGTTCCAGCCACTGCTGCTGCTTGATGTGTTTGTCGCAGAGGAAGTGGAAGAAGATGATGATGATCGAAGTAAAACCGAGAAGGGCTTCAAAATCCCCGCCGCCTTTTCAGCAGATGCAGATCCAGGCGGCAGCGACGCTGATAGAGAACGTTCCCAGATGGAAAGCAGCGCTCGCCCTTGCGCGACCGAGGCTCGCCGGCCGACGGTGCAGACGATAGTTGCGTCGAGGGTATCGTCTAGTAGGGCGAGCTGGGTCGGGTTCCGGTGGGCGGCAAGGACGTAGGGAAGGGTGGTGGAGGCGTAGGAAGAGAGGGAGAGCGGGAGGAAGGAGGTGAAGGAGGGTGGTGGGGGTTTGGTTCTGGGTACTGGGTTGTTGGGCAATGACGTGGTATTATAGGAAGGGGAAGGGGAAAAAGGAGGAGGTTTGTTGTGGGCGAGGTAGGACTCGAGCCCGCTGCTGAAGGCGAAGGAGCCGAGAGGGAGGGCGGAGTCGGAGAGCAGGAGGAGGAAGTGGTTGGCTGGGGAGTGGAGGGTGGTTTGAGAGGGGGAGGGGACTGAAGCATGTGTTAGTGATAAGCGTATTAAGGTAGAATTAAGGGAAATACGGTTAAGTTAAAGAGAAGGCAGATGTTGAACAAAGCATAGCTCACCTAATGTCGCTTCTAGTTCAGACTCTTCTGTGCTATTACGCTGTTGCAAAGCCTGTCTCTGTTTCAGTTTCGCTTCAGCCAGACGTCTTTCCAGGTCGGCTATATCGTTTTCAATTGCTTCGGCTTCGTTAACCATAGCTTTTCCATCTTGTAGTTGTGACATTCTGACGCTTGATGAACAAACTAACGTTAGGTTCCAGCTATTCGTAACTTAAATGGAAACAGTTCTCTTTCGGGTGGGTGGTGATAGTAACACACGTCCATTTAGTTGTTGTTGTTAAGAGACATTTGTAAAGCGGGGCAAACCTGTGCTCTCTTATCGACGATACATCGTTCTAGAACTACCCAAGCAAAATCAACAATAACGCCTCATCACGACAACGGGGATTCACAATGACAGGAAAACAACGATGACATATGTAATTGTTTTCTTTCGTCGCTTCAGCCATGCTTTGGACTCGTCTCTAGCTTTTCTCATAAAGATGGACGGACGCCGAATAACGCCATGATAACAGTAGCGATCCCTAACCTAGATAAGGAAACCCATATCCCTTGACCCTTAAACACCACGCAATGCTTCCTCCTGGATTATAAACAGTGACCGTAACCCATCCATCCCTGCCTGCCCATTGTAGAACCGAGGTAATCTAACACCGCCTCACCTGAAGCCTTTTCTCTTGCCAGACATTGCCCGCCATGCCCCTGTACATATCAAGCTACAAGCATTACCACCGGAAAACATAGCCGGTGTGCACGCCACTATCAGGGCCACAGGTTCTCCTTATTCCTGTCGCCCAGACCCTTCTCCCTTTCGGCTCTCTTGCGCTGCAATCGAGCAATGGCTGCCGCTCGGCGGTCTGCGGGAAGGGATGTTGATGTGGATGTGGATGTCTTCGGAGGCGGTGTAGTGCTCCCAACGTTCCAGACGGAGCTACTATCAATGTCAAACCCTTCCAGACGCGCGATGTTCGAATGCGGCACCACGTCTGGTTTGAAGGGCTCAAGATCCGGCACCTTAAAGGAGTGAGAAGTGGGGGCCTTGAATGGCTCAAGCTCGGGCACTTCGTTGGAGAGAGGCCGGGCAATACGCGTCCTCCTTGTCGCCGGCAATTGAGAGCCGGTGTTGCCAGCCGTTGTTGCTGTCGTCTTGGTGCTCGCCCATGGCTTATCCAGCTTCTTGCCTAGAATATCCTCCAAGCTCGGCTTTGTTCGGAGAGTTCTGGCAGCGGCAGATGAGGCAGTTGCCGTGGTAGTCCCTGCTGTTGTCCTGCGCGATGCTGCCCGGTCAGGTTGGTTGGTCGTCCACAACGGCGCTTGTTGCTTCGCGGTTTCGCCAAATCCTAAAGGCTTTTTGGCCATGTCTGCCTCGATCTTTTCCCTAAGAGCCCGTGAAGACACCAATGCCTCGTCCTCATAGCTGTACCGCTTGATGTCGCCCGTGTTGGTCCTGATTCGCTTCTGGGCTCCGGCAGCTGGTGCGGGATTCAGAATCCCTCGCTGCATGCTTGTTTTCCTGAGTGCATCCAACTCCTTGAACAACAATGTGCTCTCCTCCTCGGCCGTTTCCAGGAACTTGAGTGCTTCTTCTCGGTCATTTGCTTCCTTGATCTTGTCGTGGCTCGCTTTCAGTTTCGCCTCCAGGTTCTTCATCCGCGCCGCCCACTTGGACTCGATCGTCTCGGCCTTGAGGGTTGCAATTTCGTCCTGAAGTTCGGATATTTTGTCGTTCTTCTTTTCCAAAACTTGCCTGGCTTCCATGTATCGGGATTTCGCGTCTTCCTTCAATTTGTCGTAATCCGCCCTGAGTTTCTGGAGTTCATTGTCCTTGACCAGGTTCTCGTTCTTGGATTCGGCCAGCCGTTTCTCCAAATCCTTGACCTTGAAGTTGCTCAACACGACCTCACTGTTGAGCTTCTTATTCTCTTCGGTGAGCGCGTTGGTTCGTTGCTCGGCGAATTTGAGCTCTGTCTTCATCCGGTCCCGCTCATCCCGAAGCTTTCCAAGCTCCCTAACCTGTGATCTTGCCTTCCTGAGTTCTCGCTGGGCCTCCAAAAGTGTCCGATGGGTCCTGGGTGATGCGATCCGCCGCTTGTACGAAGCGTGGCTGCCCGCCTGATAGTCGTTGTGATCCTCTTCATCTTCGCGCAGTATCTCCTCCAATTCCTCGACCTGGGCCCTGTACTCTTGCGCCAAAGCCTTTTGTCGATTAAGCTCTTCCATCAATCCGTTATTGGCCTCGGCGCCACCTCGCTTGGAGTAGAGATTGACGTGGCGCGTCATCTCGGCAATTTGCTCCTCCATTAGCTGAACCCTCTCCTGCTCCTCCTTGAGCTTCTTGTTCAGGTCGATAGCCTCAGCATCCTTCAGTTTCGCGTAGGACTTTGCGAGTTGCTTATATCTAACCAGCTTCTCCATTTCCGCCCTCGCATCCGCGTGGTATTTTTCGAACTCGGCCTTCCAGTACCTGCCAGAGCGCGAGTGTGGTTCGTTGAGATCGACCGTGGCATCTGTGATATCTGTCTCGAGATCCGAGTCATCATAATACTCGACATCATCTTCATCCCATGCATCTTCGGCCGAAAACGTCTTGACACCGTTATCCGCGGTTTGTGGCCTGGTCCGCGAATTTTCGAGAATTTCGTTCAATCGGGTCTTTGGTTTTGAGGTCTGACCGTTGGCCCCAAAGCCACTCGTCGCGGTCAAGTCCAGGGCCGATCCCGCCTTAACGCCATGACCGAAGGAAACGCGCTTGCGACGAGCTGCGCCAACACCTGGAGTCAAGAGAATGCCGGTGGGTTTCGTCGGTGATCGATGGGGACCGGGCATAGGCGCGGACTTTTTGGAATCTTTGGCGGGTGTGCCGAACAAGGCAGTCTTCAAGGCGCGCACAGCGAAAACCGGCGCTGGAGTATCGGGAACATCGAGCTGGTTGGTGGATTCATCTGGGCCAAATGGTCAGAGTAAACAATGGATATGAATGCGCTGAGGCTCCTGCAACTGGAATGGTCTGCAACCGTACCGGCATCGGGCGCGCCCGGCGCATTCTGCGCATTTGAGTTGTTGTTGCGCCTCAACGCCCAACTAATCATTGTGTCGGTCGGTGATGGGATGAAGAAGTTGAAGCGAAGTCTAGCGCAGCATACTCTGGGCGGTCGGAAATGGGGGAATAGGCCCCTCGAATACGGTTCGCGCGATAAGGAGGAGGTTGGTCGATGGTGGCTGATGGGGGTTGCAGAGGTGAGAATGGGATCGGATCGGGTGTGTGCAGTGTCGCAAGCAGGCTCGGCAAGCTGTGTCGCAGTCAGGGAGCGATGGGACTGGAGGACTCCTGTTTGTTGGTGTCGAATGTCGATGCGCGGGTGGGTGATTTGTTTACTCTTTCCCTGAACAGGACAGACGGGAGCCAATGGGAATCGGGGCTGGAAGGGGAGAACGACCTGACACCGATGGCAGTGGGCGTCTTGCCCGTCACTGTCAGTGTCAGTGCCATCCGTCAACAGAGCACGGCAGAGATCTCAATTCAGGTTCCCAAGTGGGACTGTGGGGTCTCCACTTTTGCCTCTATTCCTTGTCCAAGCTCCATTTTCAATGCTCCCCGCCGCCGTGTGCCAGCCGCAGCCGCTAACAATTTCTTGCAAGTGCCATGTCACCCATCATCCACTTGAACCCAGTGCAAGGTGTCAGGCAAAAGCTCCGTGACAGTGCGACACGGTACCGGTCCCTCGGTCGGTGAACCTTGAGGGACCCGCTAGTACCCGCCCACAGCGCTGGGAAGTTTATCTGGACTCGCTGGGGGGACCTTATCAGGCCCGAGCTGAACAGCGGGATGGATGCTGTTGTCGTGGACTCCGGTCCATGTTGTTGGAGACATTGTTCGCGGGTTTCCATTGCAAGTCACTGAGTGTTAGAGTCATTCGACGAGTCACACCTGTCTTTCATCTCCTCACTTCTGGAAAAGCGACTGCTGACCACGTCACTCCATTTCCACCCAACCTTCACCCTTTCCCTTCCAGTTTCTCTCCTCTTATCCCCTTTCCGAACCCAGTCTATCACGAATTAAGATGGGCTCCGCTCAGTGAAGTCTCGCAGCCATCTCGGCTGTGTTCGTTGCATAAGGCCTAATACCTACACTAGACCAACCCCCTTTTCACAACGACTAACAAGACTCACTGATTAATAACAAGGATCTCTGCTCAAGCAGAACAGCTCGCCATGGCGTGGAAGAAATCTGCCGGCAAGAAGAAGCCTGCCCAACAACAACCCCCCAAGAAGAACAATGAAGATAACACCAGTTTCCCCGGGCTCAAGACCCCGGGGCAAACCCCGCCGCCAAAGACTCATTATCAGGAAGTCCAGGAGAGCGAAGTAATGGTGCTGCAGGCCATCTACGGCGAAGACTTTTACCCAACAAAGCAGCACACGGGGCATGGCAGGTAAGATCTGACCTTTGATCTCTTCTCACAATGCTGTACACTAACATACCTCTAGAAATCAGAACCCCGGTTTGACATCAAGATCAAGCCCTCATCTGACGAAAGAGCTCTCAGTGACACTGGGTGTTGTCATGGTGGCCACCTACCCAAAGACACCTCCACTGCTGACGATCAAGGATGACCATAGTCTACGAGAATCGACCAAGTTCAAGATCCAAAAGTTTGTGGATTCACAGCCCAAGATCTACGCGCAAGCAGAACAGGAGATGATAGACCAGATTGTCGAAGGGATCCGTGAAATCCTGGAGGAAGCCGCTCAGAAAAAGGTCCAGGGGCTGGAAATCCCCTCCCTGGAAGAGGAGAGGGCAGCTCACGAAGCAGAGCTGGCAAGGTTAGCGCAGAGCGAAAAGGAGCGAGAGGAACGAAAGAAGCTCGAAGAGAGCAAGGAAGAAGAAAGAGTCCTCGAAGACATGCTCCAGGAAGAACTCAAGCGCCAGCGAAATAAAGCAAAAGAATCCAGAAAGAAGAACAGGAGCCACCAATTATCCCCTGACCGTGCTCCGCAAGATCCCGGCGAGACTGACGAGACGCTCATGTTTGATCAGCCCTGCAAGATCACTGATGGCTCCGGTAACGCCTTGTTCTTCCAAACCGTCATCGGCAAAACTGTCTTTCGCGAAGGTCCCATCACCACCGTCTACAAGGTCAAACCAGTCTTGTCCGCCAGAACAGTACGCCCCAGCCTGGCCTTGAAGCAAGTAGAAGTCAAGTCACATGGAAAGGATTCGGCTCAGTTCAAGAAGCAGTTGCAGTATCTAGAGTCGCAGATGGAAACCCTGAAAAAGCTGCGCCATCAGAATCTGCTTCCCTTCCTTGACTTCAGGATCGATCGAGGCATCAGCGACACCGATTCTTCTGCGCCAACGATCTGGACTGTCAGCATTTTGACGCCCCTCGCCACAAAGGGGCCGATTGAAGAGCTTCTCGACCTGGCTGGCCACATTGATACCAACAAGGCCAAGATATGGACGGCCGACCTTTTGGAAGCACTGGCATTTCTTCACAACAACGGAATCATCCATCAGGATCTTCATCCAGCCAACATTCTCCTCTACAGAAACGAGGCGGGGGATATAGTACCCAAGATAACTGATGCGTTCTATCAGAGAGAACTTCACAATCTCTGTACCAAGATCAAAACGCTTACATCTTCGAGGGCTGCCAAATCCGCATACTGGTTTCCGCCCGAAATCGCAGGCGTATCGAAACCGCAGTACACTCAAAAGACCGATGTCTGGGATTTTGGCGTTGTGTTCCTCCAGATGATCTTCGGTTTGGATGTTGCCGAGAAGTATCATTCCCCTTCCGCATTGATGGATTCTCTTTCCTTGTCGGCTCCTCTAGAAGAACTAGTCTCCAAGTTCTTCAAGTCCGACCCTAAGAAGCGGCCACGGGCTTTTGAGTTGAGCTCAAGCGAATTCCTTGCCACCAACGCGCCCATCATCGATGAAGAAGACATTGCTGTCCCGGGTTCTTTAATGCCCATGCCGCAAACAATCCCACAAAGGATGAGGCACGACTCAATGAGTCGCGGACCCATGTCTTCGAGATATCGGCAGGACTATGTGGAAGAGGCTCGCCTTGGAAAAGGAGGGTTCGGAGAGGTTGTCCGAGCCCGCAAAATGATTGACGGACACCTATACGCCATAAAGAAGATCACTCAAAGATCGCAAGAGACACTATCTGAGATTTTGAAGGAAGTCCGACTGCTATCTCAGATGAACCATCCGGCTGTGGTCAGATACTACAACACGTGGCTCGAGGAGGTGCCGGACTTTGATACAGAAGGCGATACTTCGACGGAGGGTGGCGCCACGGATATGACAGAGAGCTCTCAGGTCACGATATCTCACGGCATCAATATTGAGTTTGCCGAAAGCAAAAGCCGAGGCCTGGATTTCATGTCCTCTAGTGGCCACCCAGGCATTGAGTACGATTATAGCTCAAGTGAAGAGGATGATGACGACGATGAAGAAGATGACGAGGACGATGAAGACGATGAATCCGGTAGTGACTCGGACGACGACGCTGCCACTGTGAGCGGTAAAGGCCACCTAGGTGTCACCGGACGTCGTCCTCGGCGAGGGAGTACTCGCCCCTATAAGACCGTAATGTACATTTCGATGGAGTACTGTGAGAAGCGGGTAGGTTCAGATTACACCAAAATCAACCCTGGGATACATATCACTGACCATTACTTAGACACTACGCGACTTGATTTCTCGGAACCTGTCTAAGGAAACAGCTGAGATCTGGCGCCTGTTCCGCCAAATCCTGGAAGGCCTCTGCCATATCCACAGCCTCAACATTGTTCATCGTGACCTGAAGCCCGAAAACATCTTCATCTCTTCAGGTCCCGATGGCCTGGATAACGTGAAGATCGGTGACTTTGGACTAGCCACCAGCGGACAGCTGGCGATAGACAAGTCAACAGCAAGCTTGGATGCAAGCGACATGACCAGGAGCATCGGCACAGCAGTTTACGTTGCCCCTGAAGTCAGGACCGGTGGCAGCGGCTCTTATACTTCAAAGGTTGATGTAAGTCTCAGCATCCCCTGTACTAGGCTTGATCGGCTGGACTGACTTTATCCCTAGATGTATTCGTTGGGTGTGATCTTCTTCGAGATGTCGTACCCTCCTATGCTTGGAATGCAGCGCGCCATGGTCCTCGAGCAGCTGCGCCGATCCCCTCCAGTATTGCCCGCTGACTTCAAGCATATGGACAAAAACCATCTCGAGGTTCTGTTGTCACTACTGACTCACAACCCCAAAGAGCGCCCTTCCAGCTCTGAGCTCATGAAGAGTGGCAAGCTTCCGATTCAGATGGAAAGTGAAGCGATACGGCGCGCGATTGCTGGATTGTCAGATCCCAACTCGCCTTACTACCAGAAAATGCTCGAGACCCTATTCTCCAGGCCGACCGAACAAGCAAAGGATTACGCCTGGGAGATGTCGTCTTCTGGGCCATCACCCCAAGAGCTCATGCGACAGTTCATCGTCAAAGATACTTTGGTGTCCATCTTCCGGCGACACGGTGCGGTCGAGGCCCCTACCGCCTGCCTGTATCCCAGTTCTTCGCATTATCCCCAGAACGCAGTCCACCTACTCGACCAGAATGGTACGGTTCTTCAGCTGCCCTTCGATCTGATGATGGGCCATGCTCGCTCTCTCGCCAGAATCACAAACAGCCCCATTGTCCAGAAGTCGTACTCCTTTGGCAACATCTTCCGTGATCGTCACGGCGGTGGTCAGCCCGATGTCTATGGAGAAGTCGACTTTGACATTATCACTTCCGATGCCTTGGACCTTGCTCTGAAAGAGGCCGAGGTTATCAAGGTCCTGGACGAGATCGCGACCGCGTTCCCTACCGTGTCGTCTACTCCTATCTGCTTCCAGCTTGGACACTCCGACCTCCTGAATCTCATCTTTGAGTACTGTGGCGTTGAAGTGGGCACACGGAGGGCTGCTGCCGAGGTCCTCAGTAAGCTCAACATTCGCAACTTTACATGGCAAAAAGTGCGCGGTGAACTTCGGTCACCCATGGTGGGTATATCGGCGACCAGCGTAGACGAGCTGCAGAGATTTGACTTTAGAGGTAAGTGCCATTACACAGTGAAATGTCTACAACAAACTAATCTTCTGCTCTAGACACCCCGAGCAAAGCCATTTCCAAGATCAAGCTGCTTTTCGAAGGAACTGAATACTATCAACAAGCTTCATCAACGTTGGCCCATCTGAAAGAAGTGTACGAATACACAAAGAGGTTTGGCGTCCAAAACAAAATCTACATCGCTCCCTTGAGCAGCATCAACGAAGCGTTCTTCCGCGGTGGCATCCTCTTCTCTTGTCTGTACGACAAAAAGGTCAAAGATGTCTTTGCCGCCGGTGGCCGTTACGACAGCTTGATTAAGGAACACCGTCCCAAGATCGGCAACCGGTTTGAAGAGCGCCACGCGGTCGGCTTCAGCTTGAACTGGGAGAAGCAGCTAGCGAAGCCGGTCCCGAAAGCCACCGGCAAAGCCTTCCTCAAAAAGGCAGCCGAAGAAGAAAGCCAAGGGCTCTTCAACATCAAACGCTGCGACGTCCTCGTCGCCTCCTTCGACCCCGAAGTCCTCCGCTCCTCGGGCATCGAGCTCGTTCAGACGCTCTGGGCGCACTGCATCTCGGCCGAGCTTGCTCGCGATGCCCGCTCGCCCGAAGATTTGCTCTCCAAGTACCGCGACGAGTCGTACTCGTGGATCGTCATCATCAAGCAGGACAACATGCTCAAGATCAAGACCATGGGCCGCAAGGACGCACCCGACGCTGATATTCCCGCCAAGGAGCTACTCAACTGGCTGAAGGCCGAGATGCGCGAAAACAGGGATGCTCAGATGCGCGGCACCGGCGCCGGCGGTCATCACGGCGGTGGCATATCTTCAGGAGCAGCGATCAAGTTCCGTGGCGGCGGTGGTGGTGCCGGTCTCTCCTCATTTGGCAACAACTCGGAATTGAACAACAACTTGTTCCTGGGCGCGGACGGCGAGCGTGAGCAGGAGGTGCACGTGCTCGTGGCGCAGACGAAGAGCAAGAAGTTCAACCGGAGACAGGTGGTGGAGCAGGCGCAGACGAGCGCGGCCAGGTTGCTGCAAAGCTTCCTGGACGGGCCGATCGCCGCGATTGAGACGTCGGATAACGTGATGGAGATGATACGGCGGACGAGCCTGAGCGATGCGGAGAGCTGGCGCAAGGTGGAACACAACGTCGGCACGAGCGAGAAGAAGTACGTCAAGGAGATTCACGATATGTTGAAGGGGTGGAGGTGGGAGTGGGAAGCGAAGAAGGGGTCGGAGCACGCGTTTGTGTATAATTTCAGGACGGGGACGTGCATCTACTACAATTTGTCGGCTTGATCTGGTTGTTGGGTGGTTGATACCCCGGGGAAGTAAATAGCTGGGTCATTTAACTCGCTTGTGGTTGGGGGTGCGTATGATAGCTTCACACTCGTATATCTGGTTAGGGAAAAAGCAGCAATTTTCTGGATGATATTTACCTCTGCCATATATGTTGATGTAGGCATTTCATCCGATGTCGCGTTTTCTTTCATCTTTACATACTATGTATGGTAAGCCCCTGAATCTATCTGCTTCCAACCCTAACCCTTCTTCGCATGTGAAAGGTCCTGGCCGACCATCTCCGGTCTACAATGAGCACCTTGCTGGCCACCCCAAGAGGTTCGTACGCAAGAAGACGGGAAAACACCGATCACGGAGAACCTGGGTAACTATCAAGGTCCTTACCGGCTGTTACCCACCAGCTTTCCTAGCTGTGAGGAAGAGAGTTCCAAGGTCCATGAGCTTCGCAGACTCCTATAGGAGGAATTGCTTTACTTTCCCCGTGTTTCCTCACATGATTCGTATACCTAGCAAAACGTAGCAAATGATGGGTGGATGATGCCTCATAGCGAATGCAAAAGTGAGGTGGACTCAAAATTTTCTGTCAACAACTGCGTCACTTGAAGCTTTAGTGGACCGTGATCTGCCTGGGGAAATTTGTTAGTGCATGTTAACTACAAAACATCCGATAAGTGTGATTCCGACCACCAACATGCCCTATCACCATGCTCATTTGGCGGTGGCAAATCCTATCTCGCCCTTCCTGTACATAATAGTCTGATTTTCTCCTTTTTTTTTTTTTTTTTTTTTGTACCCTCTCACTGGTTTGTGGCTTTTTTTTTTTTTTTTTTTTTTGGGTCATCTGGGCCGAGGACCGAACAAAAGCTTGCTTTCTTCCATTCAAAACCAAGCCAGCAAAAAACAACAATAAAGGGTTCTAGGAGGTTCCGCCTGCTTTCTAAAAGGATGACGGGCAAATAGGATAACATGGAAGGGATTACCGCCTCCCTCTTTTGGCGATACTATCATTGGTCTCATGTCGAGAGCCCGAGACCGCCATTGTGTGCAGCGGCCGTTGACCACCATTGACAAGGCAAGACTGGCAGTTGACAGGATCCCCCTGTGCTTCGCTCAGCTCGGCTGCTGCACCAACATGGGAAAAAGGAAGTCGATAACCTCACAAATGGTCTGGGCTGTTAGCACTGGCAAGTGCGTGTTAGAGCCTTTGCCCAACCTCCATCCGGGTCCTTGTCCGCGGAGAGGCGTGACCTTTTCCATGATCCCATCGCTCCCATCGTAGTTCACTACACTACACCATTTCCTGATCCGGTTCTGACGCTCGTGACGCCCTTTTCTTATCCCGGCCGACCCTGATTTTTCTCCTGACTCGCAGCACCTCTATTGTTCCAGATTGTCACCGCCCAGCCCTTGATTTTCCGCCCACTCCCATCAACCTTTTAAGATTCCCACTTCCCCATTCGAGAGCATCGTGACAAACCGTTTATGTAGGTTCTAGGTATCCTTTGTTGTACCTTGCGGACTGTCCGTGCTTCCATAGTCTATTTCCCATTGTTTGGTTATCGTTATCATTCCACTCATCCCTCTTTAAAAGGTTCAATACCCGCTCTAACCTTCACCATCTTCCAACAATCTTCCCGAACCCCCGCCTCTCACCAACATCCTCCCAAACTACAAGTACCGCCCATTCTCCTCTCGAACTCCTCGTCACCATTTCCGTGTCGGTCCCTTGACGAACCACCACCAGCATATCTACCGCACCATCACCACAAACGAAGCAAAGTGGGCTTCTCCAACCACCAGCCCATTCTTTCTTTTCAACCTCCGTCACCGACACCTCTCGCCTTCACCACCATAACCACATTTCGCCATGTCGTACAGGACAACAGCGTCGGGCGCAACAACGCGCTTGATGAGTGAGATGAAGGCGCTACGAAAAGAGAAATGGATTCACTTTGAAGATGTACGTTCTGTTCCCATTCGTTCTTTTTCGTTCCCGGTCTATCCCTCGGAATAGCTTCGTCGGGCACAGTACCCGAATGCCGACTCCGATCATTACTACACTCCCATTACGGAACCTAGACTGACTCTCTGCTTCTCGGAGCAAACAGGACGACTCTGGCACCCTCAACATCCTCAAGTGGCGCTTTGGCCTCATGGTCATCAATTCCGACAGCGCCTTCAACGGAGGTTACTTCCGGGCCGAGATGGTGTTTTCGGACGAATACCCGTATCAGCCACCCAAGTTCCGCTTCCTGATCCCCATCACCCACCCAAATATTTACCCAGACGGCCAGCTCTGCATCTCGATCCTGCACACACCCGGCGAGGACCTGATGTCGGGCGAGCAGGCGAGCGAGCGGTGGTCACCGCTCCAGGGCGCCGAGAGCGTGCTGAGGTCGGTGCTGCTGCTGCTCGATGACCCGGAGATCAACAGCCCCGCCAACGTGGACGCGGGTGTCCTGTACCGCGACCACAGGGAGGATTACAACAAGAAGGCCCGGGAAACGGTGGAGAGGTCGAAGAGGGATATCCCGCCAGATTTCGAGATGCCGGTCAGCTTCGAGGAAAAGCCTCCTCCGAAGGCGGAGAACGACGACGACTTTTGGGCCGAGTCAGATGAGGAGTTCGACTTTGGTGGTAGTGACACTGGGGATGACGACGAGATGCAGGACTTTGAGGATGAGGAGGAAGGGAGCGAGGACGATGATGACGATTCCAACTCGAAGCAATAGACCGACTTTTGTTTGGATGCTACGTTCTTCTACGGCAGCGGTATCAACAGTTGCTGTCAAGCTGAGCGGGGCTCGATCAGGTTTGGGTCAGGATGATGACGATATCCCTCTTTCTCTTTTTCTTATTTGGTTCTTTTCTACCCGTAATATTCATTGCATAGCGTCGGGGACACCCCAGGTCTATTTGGGCGTTTTTATGGTCTCCCACCCAAATAAGTACATCTGGCGGAAACTTCATTGGTCGCTTTTTTACAAAGACACAACCCGTCGCCTAGGTACTTTGTCTAACCTTAACCATAGTTTTCTTGAACAGCGAGAAGACTTTGGCAAAGACGGGAAACGGTCCGGCTTCCTAAATACATGGATTACCTTTAGCGGAAACGTCTAGACTAGAGCTATAGACTTTCAACTTTCAAAACTTTCTTCCACAAAGTGAAGAGTATGATGTAGCCCCGTGATGGCATCTCCCAAGATCAAAGAGCCAAATGGCTCGTGCACGATGTCGGAGCTCATGCCGTGCTGCCAAAACCCAGACGGGAAGACCCCCCTGGCACAGTGACGAAGGTCCCTCTGAAGCCCCTCCACCGTCCCCCTCATGCGATATCTTTGTGCAAATGCGACTGGAAACCAAAGAATACATGACTGATATTACGGCGTGGAAGTGTACATTGAGCATTCTCTGGCTTTCATCCTCATCGTCCGCAAACAAAGTAACTTAACACACCGTCCCTCCTTCCCCGCAATCCGGTGCAGCTCCTGCCCATCATCCAGTAGCTGGCTGCCGCATTGTTTACGTGCCTACCTACTGTAGGTACAGCGGGTTCGGGTGTCAAAGCAGGCTCTTGCGTCGTCCAAACAACATCAAGGCAAACAACATCCCAATTTGGCTCTTCCCATCATCCCCTTCGCCCTGCCTTCGTCCGACAACAACAAAAGCAAGAGTAGAGCCATCCTTCGCCCGCTTCATCCTTTTTGCTTTTAAGACTCGGTAGTTACCACTAGACGAACGTCAAGATCGCCGTCCGTTCCTTCAACAACATCGCAATCTACGCCAGACCCCCGGTCTCGTCCCGCAGGCCCTACCCATCAAGGTCACCATCGCTGCCCCGCCGACATCATCACCCTAAGTCAGAGCCACCTGCGCAAACCTACCAACAACTCTCTCTTCCATTCTCGCTTTGGTCTTCCAGTCGCCGTACAATTTTCCGCCCCTCTTTTACCCAATATACAGCTTTACATAAATCGATAGAGCTTCACACGATCAGACCTCCCTCTTCTGGACCGGCGACGCAAACTGCTCTTATTCCACTCGACCGACTCCAGTGGCCCAAGTTTCCCTCGATCAGTGGCAGCCCAGCAACATCTTAACCACCAGCGGCACGCTCCGACCAGGAGCGCCTGACGCTGGGACTGTTGGCGGCAGATAGCGAACAATAGCAAAACCCGACTACAATACGCACTACGGTGATAGACCTAGCGGCGCAAAAGACGAACCTCGGGCACCATGGACGATTACCAGGAGCAAATCCAGACGGTGCGCGCCATCACCAACTATGATGATGAGCGATCCATCGCAACTGCTTTGCGAGAAAAAGGAGGTGACCTGGAAGCGGTCATCAACCTGATATTAGACGACGTCGATAAGGTTAGATTCCAGCACGCTACCCGACGGGGTTCATGTGAAGGCAGAACTGGATGCTGACATTCGGCGTACAGTTTCAAAGAACCTATGCTTGGGATGAGGCCGCATTCAATGCGAACCGCGAAGGTGATGGGGTTACGGGTGTTTATGGGCCCAACCAATGTGAGTTCCCTTTCTAACCCCGACTCCTGGAACTGCTTGAGTCCTATACCACAATCTTCTGCTGACAGACTCGAGTTAGCGTTTCATATCCAGCCTCCAGACAATGATCCGGTCCTCTACGGATACGATCCGGGATATGGATCCACCGCTCCATCACGGCCTCCTTCGAGGGTTGACAACCGGTCTCCTATCGGACGTGCTGTGGACATGACTACCGGTCCATATGCTTCCGGTGTCCCGACGAACCAAATGGAAGAGGACGCGCAGCTCCAACAAGCCCTTGCGGCCTCCATGAATCCTTCGGGCATGCACACTCCTCAACCGATCTCCAACGGACTGGGATTGCCGCCGCAGCTGCCCCCTCCGCCTCCGCCTCAAGAGTCGGGTGTCACTAACAATGGCCCCTATTTTGGTCCAGCGAACAGATCGGACTATGATCCGAATCAATGGGCCATGGTTCCCCTCAGGCTTCGCCAAACGGATCCCAGACCAGTCAGTAGACAAAGGGCTCCCGGGAGCTCGGCGTTTTTGAGGAACCGTTCCGATAATTCGACTAACCGACACCGCGTCGGTGGGATCTTGACGATACTGCACTCCATCCCAGCCGCACGGAATGCGCTTCTCCAGTTAGGCAATGTGCCGGAATACGGCTACGGAAGCAACAACGAATGGTGGAGGGGACAGAAGATTCTTCCCCCGGCGCTACAGGAACATGATGAACAAATTAGCTCGGAGCGGAATCAGTTGCTTCCTCCGTGGTCTGACGAGCTTCATCGTTTGGTAGCATTCCTGGACTCGACAGAAAGGGCTTACGGAACGGCAGACATCTTGGCCAAATGCAAAGCTCCCGGTGTCGAAGACCGCTGGGATAGTGAGAGGGAGTTCTTCGACAGCCACATGGAGATGCTGAAAGCCAGAAATGATGACAGCTGGGACGATCTCACCATGTGTGTGAAAAAGTCCCAATACGGCACCGAACAAGGCTTCTTGGAGTATCTCAACCTGTTGTACTGTGAAGATTTGGACCTTACCACAACAAACCTGTACGCTTGTCTTGATAAGGCATTTTGGGTGGACCGGAATACTTCAGGAGATTCACTCGAGGGCACACCCTACACAACGATCAGTAAGCTGCCTGAGGTACTCACGATTTCGCTCAGAGCGCCACAGGGACTCCCGGCAGCTGTTGACATACCCGAGACGATATACCTTGACCGGTACTTGGCAACCAATGAAGAGAAAATCAACGAACTTCAAGCCGATCTATCAAAACTGGCGTACGCGCTTCGCAAATGTTCCGAGGAGGAGGAAAGGTTGACATGTTGGATCGACAAAGAAACGGGTAAAACTATGGACCGCCGAACTATGATTACGGACAGTATCGAACGGTGCAAAGACCATATCCAGCAACTCAAGGGTCGGGCAGCCTGGAGAAATTTCGAAGAGTCGAGTTCCGATGTTAGTGGAGATGGTTACCGACTTTATCTAGCGGGCGCTGAAAAGGAGGCATCGGTTTCACCGGATGAGGCAGCTATTATCGCTTTTTACGAGCGCAAGATCAAGTCTCTGACAGAACAGGCAGCCAAGCTTGAGAAGATTGTACAAGGTATGATTACCGTGGCCACTTCCAAGGCCATATTCGTCTTTCGTGTCCTCTAATTTCAGCGAGGTACTGACATAAACAACTATAGGCTCTATAGCGCCACAAAAAGAACGCATTAAGGATGCTTTGCAGCAACATAGCAAGGCTCTCACCGTTCCTGCTTCGGATAACTCATGGGTCCCCACGGCCAAGTTTACTCTTCGTGGCGTGACAGGCGAGCCAAACACCGTGTTCTTGCGGAAACAGGAAGTCGAGCTTATTGATCTCGAAGATGGGGAGGTCCCTACGGAACAGTGGTTTAAAATTTCGTGCTCTTCCGGGAGCAACTACGCTTTGCAGATAGAGGTAAGTTTCTTCTGTAAAATGCATGAAACAGCAGTGATGAATGGAATGGGCTTGCTAACGTTATGTTGTCAGAAAACAACCCACGAAGCTGCTATAACGCAGGCTTGCGCAGTCGGCACTGAACCCCTTCTCATTTACGCTTCTGACAAGGCGATGAACGCTGAACCAATCCCTCTCAATGATGCTCTAAAGGCCTTCATCAGGTTTGACAATAAGTTCTTCAGCCAAGAACTGGCACAGACCGAGCATGAACAGCACGAAGACTCCAGAAAGCGTGGGCCTATTTCGATGTCGTCTCCGGACTCGAAGAGACGTAACAGATCTAACAGTGTGGACTCGATGGCCACGAACCACGCATCAGCCGGCGACGTAGAGATGGATGATGAAATGCGTGCAGAATTCCTCAAATCTTCCAACGGATCGGGGTACGAAAACGGCACGGAGAAGGCTAGCGCCAGCTCTGACCATGATATGGCGGATGGTCTTGCTCCTTCCCCACGCCAGGAAGATGCCGCTGTTCCGCATTCCAATGATCTAGTTGACCTGCTCACACCCACTTATGAAGATAAGGCAGAGAGCAAGGAACATGAGTCATCCAACGTTGGTGCATCAATGGATGGCACGTCAGAGAAGATGGGGCGTGTGTCCCTCGATGAGGACAAGATGGATGTTGATTGGCGCCAAACAGGAGGCGATACGAATGCCGGTTGCAGCCAGGCCAGCGGATCCAGTGCCCATACAGAAGACTCTGGTATAACCGCGAAGCCAACCAAACCTGCCGACGATGGCACTACAACGGCGAGGGGCCCAGAGATGCAGGAGCGCAGTAACAATCCATTCCTCGCCAAGGCACCTAACACAACTGCCGCCTTGACGACTTCGGGCAGCTCCTTGCAATCGTTCAGCCGAGATATTATGGACTTTTAGGCAAAGGAATTAGCCCCTGAATATGAGGGGTTCGAACCAGACGTTGCCTTCCTACGCATTCAGCAGCTAACTTGGAAGCTGTTTGAAGATGATCACCCCAGTTCCCTGCGCACTGCGAGGTGGCTGTCCTTCACGGAGAGATTATTCGAGCAAGAGCCCTTTCTCAGTATTCAGAAAAACAGAGACCTCGGCACTGCGTCCATGTTACTGGATCTAGCCCGCTCTGGGCCACAACACAAACACTCTGACACGGAAAGGCCGGAAACATCCCGGCCCCAGGATGATGAACAACCCATGGACGATGAGGATCAGAGCAGGACGCCAAAAAGAGCAAGCGAGTCTTCGGAGGAGAGCCCGCAGAAACGAGCAAGGGTGCATTCGCGCTCCCCGGAGACAGTCATTTGAGCCCCGAGTCCCTAAAAGTCTCCAGGCTGGAATATGCGTGAGGTCGAGTCTTCAAGAGGGGTGTAGCTGAAAGCAGTATCGAAGGAGTTGGCTAGGTAATTGGTTCGCGGGCGTCCTCGGTGGTCTTCTTATTAAAGAACGCAGCGACTTTGATATCCTGCCATCTGTAAAGGCGCTTTGGCAGATGGACTCGTTTGCATAGCGGAACTCTACTCGACTTGGGAACGTGTTATTCTTAGGTGATATACATCCACCACAAGACTAGTGAATAGTTTTGCCTACTTACATGTTAAGCGATTAACAACAGAAAGGCCGGGCAGAAAACAGAGAAAGGATAGTGACATGTTAAATGTAGTAAGACAAGATACCCAGCTTTGTTGGGGATACCTAGCCGCCTACATGTGAAGAAGAGTGACCAGCGCGCGATACTTGGATGAACATTCCGAGAAAACTCTGCAACTAGAAGAAAAGGATGATACAATTCGGTATACCAGACTTTCCTGTTGACACGACAGGTGTCACTACTTCCGCCTCCTCTTGTGTCGTCGACGAGATGTACCGGTAGTTAAGCAGCGGCACTCTTGAAACACAAACGGTGGTCATAAGCAGCTAAAGTCCGTAGAATCTGCAACAATAACCGGAGCTCGAATAGTGTAGTGGTTATCACGTTCGCCTCACACGCGAAAGGTCCCAGGTTCGAAACCTGGTTCGAGCTAAAGTTTTTTTTTTTTTTGGCCTGAAATAAATCCAACTCTGCCCGTCACCCAAGCTTGTGCAGCTTCGGGAAGCGCAACACAAACAAAGGAAAGAGGTCGGAATAGGGGGCGGGAAGTGGGGTTCGATTTGTGCTTGCCTTTTTGGCAGAGCTCTTGCCTGCCGCTGCTGAAATGCCCCACCTTTTGGAGACTGCCCCACTTCCGACATCATCCTTTCCCTTCCATTTCCAGCGGGCGCACGCAGGAGCTGTGATGCTTGTCAGTGGGGTTTCGACGCCGTGAGCTGTCTGGTCCTGCCCGTCTCTCGGATTTGATCGTCGTACACCAACCGTACAATTCAATTCCGTAACACGATCAGTTAACACCATCAGGTACCCACGAGTCTTGACGATTTCTCGAGTTTGCTGTATACCAACATTATATCACAAACGATCAGTGGTCCAACTCGAGCATTGCGCAAGCCGTTATCTACGAGGGTAACCGATTACAACATCAGGGGGGGCATCACCACGATACCCATATCTCCAACCGAACCACAAAGAATCATAACCCACATTTGTTGAGCCATCACACCAAGAGCATCAGCAGCAATCATGGCCTCAAGACAAGACGCCAAGATCCAAAAGATAATTGCGCGACTACAGAAGCGCATCGCCGAGGGCCAGTTCGAAGAGCAATACGAGGCCGGGCAGGAGACGAGACTGGTTGCGGCGCGGTACACAAAGGCGGAGAACTGGCCGGCCGCCATCGACATTCTTTCTAGCGTGTCGCAGGCGCTTCTGAAGGCCGGAGCGGGCGGCGCCGGCGGCGATCTCGCCATCTTGCTGGTGGACGTGTACAAGCAAGGCAAAGTGAAGCCCGATGCGGCGTCAAGGGGAAGGCTGTTGACGTGCTTGAGACTGTTCGCGTTTGAGGAGCCGACGAGGAAGAAATTTGTTAAGGAGGTTTTTGAGTAAGTCTTCTTTTCTTTCCTTTCTCTGTGGATTACGTATGGATTTGCGGAAAGGAAAAAAAGAAAGGAAGCGAGTGGGGGCTAATGGAGATGGAAAACCACAGCTGGTCACGGAAATTCGGCGATTACCCCGCCGGCGACCCCGAACTTCACCATGTCGTCGGCACCTTGGCCGCCGAGAGCCACGAGACGGACGAGGCCGAGAAGCACCTGATCTTGGGAACCAAGGAGTCGGCCGAGGTGCTGACGCGCATGGAGTACGAGTGGTACAAGGACAGCGAGCAACCGCACACGGCCGCGCTCTTCGCCGCCCGCGCCATCTTGCCGTATCTACTGCTGGCCAACGTCCGCGCGGCCAACACGTCATACCGCGCTTTTGTGTCGGCGCTCACGGCCGATAACACGTCGCTGGGCGTCCAGAACGTGGAGAGCGCCCATGGCAGCGATATCCGCATCTTCCCGAGCCTGCCGTTGTTGAATTTCTTGGGACTGCTGCTGCTGGCAGTGCAGAAGGGAACACCCGATCTGTTCAGACAGCTGAAGACCAAATATGCGAGCAACCTTGCCGAGTTGGGTGGGGCGTGGGATGGCGCGCTGGAGATGATTGCTGAGATGTATTTTGGCATTCAGAGGCCAAGGCAGTCGAACCCATTGCTGGATATGATGGGTAGCTTGTTCGGTGGTGGCGGCGGCGGCGGTGGTGCGGGTGCTGCGGGCGGCAGGCCGCCGGTGAGGAGGGTTGAGGCGGCGCCTACTGCTGAGGGATTGGACTAAAGGGCCAGGGCCATCTGAACAGCGTGGAGAGCGATGGATTGTTGTTACGGGAAGGGACAGACTTAATTTTATCTTCGGTCCATGTTCTATCCTGCTCAAAGCCTGCTGGGATGTTATCAAGGGTGAAAGAAGTAATCATAGGGGGGTGGGTATACGCTGCTTATGCTAAGGTAATATGACAAGTCAAAGGGGAAGAAGACCAAAGGGAAAATGAAGTGAAGAGTCGGGAGAAGAAGCCGGAGACGAAATCAGACCAAACCCAACTCGCCCCAATACCAATAATGCCATCCAGCTTTGTTCATAAAGCGTGCCGCTCGTCACTCAACCATCCCTCCCGATCAATGCAGATGAAGTACCTCCTCCCTCTCAAACATCCAGTTATCCTCAGATAACGCCGCAACCTTGGCCTTCAAGCTTGCCTTGACTGCCTCCGAGAGTTCTACAACTTCAGTCGTTAGTCTCCAGCTCCCGTATCCTCTGTCATCCACGGGCAATAATAGATCAAGCTTCAGTTGAAGACATACCTTCAGTATCCATCCCACATTCTCCCCTCCCCCCTCCCCTTTCTGTGACTCCCTCCAACCCAACATCCCCCCTGCCCTCCGCCTCATGCTCAGTCAACCACTCCCTCACCGCATCCGCCAACCTCTCCCGTTCCTTCTCAGCCTCCATCCGCGCCTCCATGATCGCTTCCGTGTCCTCGTCGTAGGGAGGGGTAGGAGGATCGTTGCCTAGGTCGATTTCTCCCGTCTCTTTGTCGCGCACGACTATTTCCTGGTCGGGGTCTGTTACTGCGGTTGGGGGTTGTTGATCTTCTTGTGAGGAGGTCATTTTGACGTCTTCTTCTACTTCTTCTCCTTCTCCTTCGTGGTGGGGTGGTGGTAGTTGGTGGTATTGTTGGAGATGGGGCAGGGAGGAGGAGGGGGAGTCTTGGGGGTAGGGGTAGTAATGGGTATTTGGGTAGGTTTGGAAATAAGGTTGGGTATAAGACTCGGTGAGGTAAGAAGCCTGCTGGTGTTGGTGTTGTTGTGAATGAGATTGAAAGTTACTTTGGTGATGATAGGTTTGTGAAGTGTGATAGATTTGAGACTGAGAGGATTGCTGCGAGTAGTAGCGTCCTTGAGACTGTTGAGAGTCTGGGGCAGCAGTGGGTTGTCGGGTCGGTTGTGCTGGTTGTGATTGTGATTGTGATTGTGATTGTGATTGTGGTTGTTGAAAGAGGTTGCGGCGGACTGGTGCCCCGACTCTTGCTCCTGCTCCGGCGGAAGAGAGTCCGGTGTGTGGAGGAGGCGCGGTTCTTGAAGGAGCAGCGGGTTTGAAGTTGGGGCCGGGACGACGGTCGGCCATTTGTTTGAATGCGGCGGTTGTTGGTTTGATGCTTGAGGAGGATGTGATGCAGGATTGTGTCTTGAAAGTTGATGGCTCGACAGTTCAGTAGTTAAAACTTGGGGGATTGGAACAGTTGATCTCACTTGGTGAAGCTTCGCACTTTGTTGCCTAACTTTCGAGGGAGAATGAGGAGTGATGTAAGGTTATGCAATTACTTGATAAAGTTGTAAGTGGTAAGAAAGAAGACGCGGGGCATACCCCCTGGTCGCTGTACCGCGATGGCGTGAAGTGGAGGAATAACAGGGTTAGGGTCTGACGCGAGTTCACGTGCTCCGATTATAGCAACTCGGTGTCATTATTGCGCTTTAACATGCCATTCGCAAGCTCAAGGATTTCTTTGAATTTTTCTGGCTGGACTGAGTATCACCGTATAGTCATCCCAGAGTTCGTTGAAGATGATAAGACGTTGTCATTCCGCAACGTTACACTGCTTTGAGGTGGCGGTACATACTAATGTAAAGGTATCTCGTTCCTAGCTGCAGGGGTTAAAGAGGTGCAGTTACATACATAGGTACATACACACATGTAATTAACGGCGCCATGTAAAAGTGGCTCAAGTGGGTGCTTGTCACGTAACAAAGACATTCGTCGCGTACAGTCGCGATTTCGATTTCGTCCCATTTACAATTCCACATTTTCTTCCCCTCTCTCCAACCAGACATATTCTTTTGCTGTCATTGTTGCTGTTTTCTTGTCATTAGGCTCAGATACGACAGTACTCTCCCACAAGACGACAAACGCGTGTCCCGAAAGATTCGTCCTTGTGAATCCAACCAAGACCGGCCTCCACCACAGCCAACCGAACTTTCAAAGATCCGGAATGGCGCCCTCAGCGTTGCCACAGAAGCGCGCGTTTGGCGAGGCAACAAGCGCCCTCAGCAACATTCACAATCTTCCCGCCGCTTCTTCAGATTCAACCAAGAAAAGACGCCTCGACGATGTTCCTCCCTCGTCCCGCTTCCGAACTTTCAAGAATGACGGCAAGGGCAGGATACCCTCCACGCAACCTAAGAGCGCCTTCGAGAGCGAGGTGCTTGAACGCATGAGCCAGGACATTTCCGACCTGAAACAGAACAACTCGGAAAAGGATCAGGCTTGGGAACGCCCGCCACTACCAGCGACCTACAACCCAGCAACAGACAGTCTCTGCTTTCAGTCCATCGAGGCCGAAGAGGGATTCCTCCACGGCGGTCAGGCGACCATTAAGCTGTTCGGTGTTACTGAGAATGGAAACTCGGTTCTCCTCCATGTCAAAGACTTCAAGCATTACCTCTATGTCCAAGCCCCCGTATCGTTTGGTCCCGATGATTGCCCCAAGTACAGAACATTCCTCGAAACCCAGCTCGCCATGCCCACCCCGGCCATCCACTCGGTCTCCCTGACGATGCGCGAGAACATGTACGGCTTTCAAGGCAACACGCAAAACCCTTATATCAAGGTCACCGTCAACGATCCCAAGTTTCTCCCCAGAGTCCGAAGATTGATCGAAACGAACAAGGCAAACTGGAAGGGCATGTGGAAGAGCGATGGGTCCATCATGACTTTTGATGATATTCAGTACCTGCTTCGGTTCATGGTCGACTGCTCGGTATGCCACCCCCTTGAAGTAGTCCCAAGATTTCCAAAGCTAACAAACACCAGATTGCTGGTATGTCTTGGGTAGAGGCTCCCGCAGGCAGCTATCAGCTTGTCACCGATAAACACTCCAACTGCCAAATCGAAGCCGAGATGAGCTACCGTGATTTAATAGCACACAAGCCGACTGGTGAATGGTCTAAGATGGCCCCTCTGCGAATTCTCTCCTTCGATATCGAGTGCGCTGGCCGCAAGGGTATCTTTCCCGAACCGCAACACGATTCCGTCATCCAGATCGCCAACATTGTCACAAAGTACGGAGAGAAGAAGCCATTTGTTCGGAATGTGTTCTGTCTCGACACGACTAGCTCGATTGTGGCTACCCAGATTCTGTCTTTTGACAGGGAAGAGGACATGCTTCGCGAATGGCGCAACTTCCTAGAACAGGTCGATCCGGATATCATCATCGGTTACAACATTGCCAACTTCGATTTCCCGTATCTTCTAGACCGAGCCAAACACCTAAAAAGTCAAGGACTTCGACTTCTGGTCTCGTACCAGGGTAAGATCTGTTGCAAAAGAAACAAACTTTTCCAGCAAGCAGATGGGCAATCGCGACACCAAGGCTACAAATACCAACGGACGTCTTCAGCTAGACATGCTACAATTGGTACAACGCGACTATCAGCTGAGAAGTTATACCCTTAACGCTGTCTGCTCAAACTTCCTAGGAGAGCAGAAGGAAGATGTGCATCATTCTATGATCACGGAATTGTTCGAAGGCACACCGGAATCCAGGCGACGTCTTGCACTTTACTGCTTGAAGGATGCGTATCTACCGCAGAGGTTGATGGACAAGCTATCATGTCTAGAAAACTACACCGAAATGGCAAGAGTCACGGGTGTGCCGTTCAACTTCCTCTTGGCCAGAGGTCAGCAAGTCAAGTTCTTGAGTCAGCTATTCCGCAAGGCTTTGGAGCAGAAGCTGGTCATTCCCAATCTGCGTCCCGAGTCCTCGGAAGAGCAGTACGAAGGTGCTACTGTCATTGAGCCCACAAGGGGCTACTACGATGTGCCCATTGCCACTCTCGATTTCGCTTCACTGTATCCCAGTATCATGCAGGCACACAACCTCTGCTACACGACTCTCATCAAAAAGCGGGATATCGAGAGGTGGAACTTGAAGAAGGACGAGGACTACATCGTTACTCCCAACGGAGACATGTTTGTAACGACTAAGCAGAGGAAAGGTCTCTTGGCACAAATTCTGGAGGAATTGCTATCTGCCAGAAAGCAAGCCAAGCGCGAGTTGGCAGTAGAGAAGGACCCCTTCAAGAAGGCTGTGCTGAACGGTCGTCAGCTGGCCTTGAAGGTCAGTGCCAACTCCGTTTACGGTTTGACAGGTGCCACAAACGGCAAGCTTCCTTGCTTGGAGATTGCCAGTAGTGTCACCAGTTTCGGTCGCCAAATGATTGAGAGGACCAAGAAGGAGGTGGAGGAGCGGTATACTATTGCCAATGGCTATTCTCACGATGCTCAGGTCATCTACGGTGATACCGATTCCGTCATGGTCAAGTTCGGAACCAAGGATCTTGCCGAGGCCATGAAGCTCGGCCAAGACGCCTCGGAGTATGTCTCGGGCAAGTTTGTCAAGCCCATCAAGTTGGAGTTCGAAAAGGTCTACTTCCCATACCTGCTCATCAACAAGAAGCGTTATGCGGGTCTCTACTGGACCAAGCCTGAGAAGTACGACAAGATGGACACCAAGGGTATCGAGACGGTTCGTCGTGACAACTGCTTGCTAGTCCAGACTGTCATCGAGAAGGTTCTTAGAATGATCCTGATTGACCAAGACGTCCCTGGAGCCGAAGCGTAAGACTTTCCTACTTTGTCCTTCTAGCCCAGTTAACATGATGCTAACTTTCACCACTAGATACGTCAAAGACACCATCGCCGACCTCCTGCAAAACAAGATCGACATGTCCAAGCTAGTCATTACCAAAGCCCTCACCAAAGAGAACTACGACGCCAAGCAAGCCCACGTCGAGCTTGCGCAGCGCATGAAGAAGCGCGATGCCGGCTCCGCTCCTGGGCTCGGCGACCGTGTCGCCTACGTCATGGTGAAAGGCGCGGCGGGCTCCAAGAACTTCGAGCGCTCCGAGGACCCCATCTACGTGCTCGAGCACAACGTGCCCATCGACACAAAGTACTACCTGGACAACCAGCTGGCAAAACCGTTGGGCCGCATCTTCGAGCCCATCCTGGGTGAGACCAAGGCCAAGTCGTTGCTGACGGGTGACCACACCCGCGTCGTCTCGGTTGCGGCACCCACAGTCGGCGGCCTCATGAAGTTCGCCAAGAAGACGCAGACGTGCATGGGCTGCAAGAAACCGTTGACGGGCAAGGAGGAAAGTCAGGGTGCCGTCTGCGCAGACGATGCGCCGAGAGTGGGCGAGCTGTACAAGAAGACGCTGGATAAGGTGTCGGATCTGGAAGTCAGGTTTGGCAGGCTCTGGACCCAGTGTCAGAGGTGCCAGGGGTCGATGCACTGCGAGGTTATCTGCAGTAGCAAGGATTGCCCGATTTTCTACATGCGGATGAAGGCCAAGAAGGATCTGGAGGATGCGAATAAGGAGTTGACGAGGTTTGATTTTGATGCGGCTGCCATGTGGTAAGGGGAAATATGGATATTTGTGTTTTTGTGGGCTCGTACGGGATGATTGAGCACCCAGTCCAAATGTGCTTCAGAGGTATAGGGATAAGTTAAGACTGTCTAAACCAAGTGTAACGGTATCACTTTGGTATGTCAAGGCGTTTTGGTACGGATATTATTGTCATTGATTACGGGCAAGTTGATGATATATGTTACAAGTTACAGGAGAAAGGAATGGCCGAGTTTGGTTCTGATATGTGATAGCAAACTTTTGGTTCCTTGGAAGACGATCATGAGTAGCAAGGGATATGATTCAGTACAGGAAGTAAGAATGACTGTTTTGGTGTATGTTTACGACAGTATCCTCTGGACCTGCCAGAGCGTGGTATTCCTGTTGGCCACCACCTTCTATGTAGGCACTCCTCTAATCATGGTGTCAACTTCATCCCCAACATGTATAACTTTAGCGTACCGTCCTCCCCAAGAAAAAGCAGATTCCAACTAAGCCCCTGACGCCGTACCAGTATAGACCAAAATGAAGTATCCAATCGCCAATCGTATCGATAAAGTGAACTGCATATATCCAAAATCACCATCATGGCCCATCATCACGTCATCCTTGCCATTACTCCTCTCAGTAAAGCAACTCCCCAGAATCAACCATCTCCTTAAACTCATCATTCGGCTCCACAAACTTGTACGTCTCCCCTCTGCACACTCTATCCACCTCCTCCCTGACAAACGGATAGACATCCTTCCACGGCATTTCGGCCCATCCACACATCCAAGTGTCCATACCCGGGCACCACGCGCCTCTTGTAGCTGGTATCGTTGGTGCCAAAAGTGTTGCACAGGATCTCATAGGTGCGCTCCGTCGCCGCGGGCGACAGCACAGCCTGGTCGCGGCCGACAAACAGCAGGAACGGAATACCCTTGAGCCGCTGAATATTCTCGGGCGTGTCGAGACGCCGGCACAGGGGCTCATTGGTCATGACGTGCCCCTCGGCGCCCTGTTTCATGAGCAGGTGCAGCAACTTCATGTTGACGCCGCCGAAGAAGCGGTCGATCTGCCTGTGCGTCGCCTCGTTCAGGTTGCTGTGGTTCCAGCACCGACCGAACACCAGGCTGGTGCGGTGGCAGGCTGCGTTGTTGCAGATCTCCTTCCGCGGTTGAGGATAGAGACGCAGGAGCTGGTTGAGAGCCTGCTGGACATAGCTGTCGTCGCGGCTGGTGCTGCAGCTGAACCAGTTGCCCGCAAGGGCCCTATAGATCTTGTCATAGGGGCCGGTGGTGGCCTTGATGAGGTTCATGGTTTGCCAGATGGGGTTCATGAAGACTTGAGAGCAGGAAACACCCAGGAACCAGTCGGTTGGGATCGTCCCGTCAAGCATACCGGTGGAAAGCGCCACGCTGCCCATGCAGTGTGCGATGGTGTAGATCTTCTCCCGGCCGTATTTCTCGCGAATGTACTGCATGCATGCCTTGATGTCAAGACGGGCGTCATAGGTAGTCCAGCTGTTCTCCGCAACCATAAGCTGTCCGATACGGTGAACTGTGATGAAGACACGATAACCGGCACGTCTGAAGTAATTGACGGCGTTGTACCGGATGGTAGGAAGGGCAAAGATGTGGTGATCAACTGCCGCGCCGGGAACCATGAAGAGGTTTTTGATGCTCTTCCTGTCGTTATCAGGATAGTGAGTTGGCTCCCACATATGCAGGCGAGTGCAAACTCCATCCTCGGCGTAGATGGCATGGGACTCCGTTGGCGGTGTGTTGTTGATGTAGCCGGTAGGCAACATGCTTGGGTACTCGAGAGGGGTCAACGGTGCCATGAAGAGAGAGAGAGACTTGCGGGTAAAGAAGGTCATGAAACTAGCCGCACTGGCTACCTTCTTCAAGAGGTTGCTGCCAGTTGGGGTCATGGTCATGATCTCAGAGAGGAAGTCCTTCGGCTGAATGTGCATAATACCCTTGGCGAGTACCTTGCCACGCCTCCAAGCGTTTTCATCGTCGAGATTGCTGCACATTCCGTCCACATGCTCGCTGACTGTCACGTAGAGTGTGCTAGTCGAGCGCCAAAACTGAAGAGGGTTCAGCGCAACAGACGAATCAACGACCTTGTAACCGTGGAAGTGCAGCCTCCTACCATCGACGCCGGTCATATCAAAATCATATGTCAAGTTGCGGGTACCGGGTGCCTTGTCATCAATGATGAACAGGTTGAATTCGCCTCTCCGAACCATGAATGGTGAGCCAGGAATAGCGGGGCACACAAAGGTTCCCGTAAGCATGGCCCGATGCTGAGCGTGTGAAAGCGTCCTTAGAGTGTCGAAAGCCTGAACACTGAGGAAGAAGCGAGCACTTTCACAGAGCGATTTGGCGGTCCGGTAGGCAAGCTCGTATGTAGACCGCTCATCAGTGTTCATGTTAGGATCATGATGGATGAAGCCGGACATGACCTCAGTAAAACCCATGCCGCTTGAGCAAAGCTCCTTGGCCATTTGGATAGCTCTGGTTGCGTAGCCGAGACTGTACCCCTCTTCCACAGCTTCGATCTTTGAGACAGTCCTCTGTGGCAAATGCTGCTTGGGCTTATGTTGCGGCTCGCCAAAAAGATCAAGGGTACCGTTCTCCTCATCGCTGATTTGCAAACCCTGGCGCTGGCAGTATGCTTCGACAGACCGCTCTGCTAGGGCAGCAATGGTAGCAAAAGGATTGGCACCCAGAGCGGTGGGAATCACCGCGGCGTCTGTGACGATGAGGCCGTCATGGGTCTCACTTCCGAGTCCCGTGAACACCTCGCCCACATGGTTGGTGACACCGGTCCGACCCGTATTGTCTCGGGCCATACAAGCTCCGCTGTAAGTTTTAAGGTTGTGTTAGTCATAGAATTACGTGCCACAGTACACTACTTGTACGGGGGTTTAAGAGTAGGAAAAGAGCAACATACCCGATAGGATGGACTGTTACTTGTTGGTTACCCAACATGGCGTCGAAGGGGTTCTTAACATAGGTACCGCCAACAGCCTGCGTAGCTTGTGCTAAAAGGTGATTGAGCTTCTTAACATGATCACTTCGACCAACGCCAAGGAACTCAAGGACTGGCTTATCGTCCTGCAAGGTCAGCATGGCCTGGTTACCTGTGAGGGTGTTAGCTTTCAAGATAATGTTGCCTTGGTTGGGGCTTGTTTGAGCTGCTTACTATCATGAGACATGATGAGGTAAACCTGCGTCCTCGCAATGGCACCCTTCTTGAAGTAAGGGCCCAAGAATCTGCTACCATAACGAGCCAGAGCAGAGTGTGCCTTGTCAAGAACCGTCAAGTTCTTGGGTTCTTCGCTTCCTGGCATCAGGTCAAGCATCGCTTGTAGGAAGTGTGCGAGGGCGTGAGGAACAGAGCCCTCTTCGATGACGAATCCGTCAAGGGGGTTCTCTAGGTTATGCCTGCAATCGATGACACTGGTGATGCAAGGTCCAATGGGGTTATACGGCGAAGGGTATGCCCGGCCAATGCCGTTCACTGTCTCGTGGGTGTTGTATCCAAACGCCAGGATATCTCCATTCCCGCTCATGTTCTGTCCGACCAAGTTGCTCATCTCAAGACCCATTGCTTTGCTTCTGAGCAGGACCTCGGGAGTTGCAAGGGCGCCAGCGCCCAAGAAGACTGCTTTCCGCGCACGAACCCACATGAGGTCGCCGTGAAGGTTCGCTTTGAAATGGCCTCGGTTGCGGCCATGCCAGGCGAAGTAGACAAGGTAGCCGTCATCGTTACCCTGCTCGTCCTTGGCCTTTTCAATGTACCGCACCTCGCACTCGCAGAACAGTTCGGCGCCCCAGTTCCAGGCATCGGCCAGATAAGTAACCAGGGTGGTCGTCTTTGAGCCGTCGTTGACGCCAGTAGCATCCTGGCCGGTCAAAGCCGATGCCGACATCTCAACCCCACAGCTATTTGGGCCATTCTGGAAGCGTGTTGTCTGCTTGACCTTCCTCCATCTGTCACCATAGCCCATATACTGGGCTTGCTTCTTGAGGAGTTTGGCCTTCGGCAGCTCGGGCCAGTCATCGGGGTACTCTGCTGGCTCAAGTACTTTTTCTACCTTCTCGTAGTCTGATATTGACGATCAGTATCAACCTTGTAAACCATCTGCATTTCAGGCTTCTTTTGAAAAGGTTCTTGAACTTACACTTGTCCAAAGAGTCCACCTTGTTCCGGATCTCGGGAGGCCAAGCCTTCATGGCCAAGGTACCCTTATCGGCCTCCATAAAGACATTAGCGTTCATGAGACTTGTTCCACCGAGGCCTAAAGCTTCACGTTAGCTGGCGCCCTGTCATGCTTCTGCAGAGGTATACGTACCATTAGCCACAACTGCATTCTGTCCTTTCCAAAAATCAAGTGATACATGCCGGTGGGATCACCCGTCTCAACGGGTATACCATCCAGAGATCCCGGGGCGAATGTACCGGATGTATGGAGTTCCTTGAAGGCGTCCGCGGCACCAGTAGGGTACTCGCCAGGCCACTTCTCACGGCCACGCTCAAGGACACACACCGATGAGCCTGTACGAGCCATCCGTGACGCCGCAACACCTCCACCGTAGCCGGATCCGATCACCACAACATCGTAGGCGACCTGTATAAGTTCGACCGGTTTCGAAATTCTCGGAAACGCTTGACGGTCTTGGTCGGCTACATAACTGCGCACTTTGGCGTTGGCTCGGGCGCGAGGTCCTCCAGCTTGGTGGTCGTGGATACCCTCTGTCGGAATCTGGTGAGACACTGGGTTGGGTCGAGGGAAATCCCGAGGTTGTTGCTTAGGGCTTCTACGGGGAGTAGGGGGGAAGTCGGAATCGGGTGACTCGGTGAAGGAGGCGTCTGAGTCGCCATTGGTATGTGTAGAGCCGGGGAAGAGGCCGGCGGTGTCGGTTTTCCTCCGAGTTGGTGATCATCATAAGCTGGGGTCGGCGGAGGAGACAGAGCCCCGTTTGACTTGTGAGCTGATAGCCTATCCATCTCTTTAGTCAAAGATATATCACAATTCCAAAATCAAACTTCCTAATGAAAGGGCTCGAGCGGGAGATGTCAGTGAAGAGGCCCTTATGGTTGGCAAAAGAGGTATAGTGTGACTTGATGTCTTATGGAATACAAGGCAAGAGAAAGGGTATAATATGAATATAGGGAAGGTTAACGAAAAACGGTTGGTAGGAGCTGAGAGTACACGGGGAGGTGAGAAGAGATTTCAGTACCATTGGGAAGTGGATGGGAGGCGTCAAATCGATATATACCTGCTGGCCAGAACGACAATTTTGTTCTGCCCTGGTCCTTGATATCCAAACTGTCTGATGGGGACGCCATAACGTGGCACTGTTCTAGCCCGACTGGGCAAAAGAACAACAAGCGTTGCTCGAGAATGTCCATGGAAGTGCGGCTGACGATGTGTACCGACTTGTACATCGGACTAGCGTATAGCCCTACCTACCTTGTGAGGTATAGGTCGAGGAAGAGGAGGGCTGTACACTGTGTCGGTCTGTGTCCGTTCAGGTAGGAGATCAGATACTTCGTGTGGAGAACGACGAGAACGGTTACCCGGCTCCTTTCTCATGGCTTCGCAGTATCGTGAAGGCGCAGTGTCAGCTAGGTTTTGATTTGAACCTGGCTCCCTGGTTCGCCGAGGCCGCGCTGAACAAAAATACATTATCGCGGGAAATGCAAATCACCATTGGCCGGGGTCCGTCTCCAGGCACGACAATGGAGGGTTGCAAGGGTATGGACGTCGAGTGCATTGCTAGCGTCTGGACATTCACCGAAAATCTGCAATGGTAACGGCATGGCACCACCATGTGAGAAGCGCGAGTCGAAGATGCTGATTGTTGCCGACCATCACGACGGTGTGGGTACACGAACTGCAAGCCTCATGTTTCCCGGAGGATGCGGAGGGGGCAGTTCATGTGGAGTTGCAAGCCACGGTGACTGCTAAAACCAACACAGGATGCCTTGCCTCTTTCTACCATTTTGGAAACCAAACGGGAGATTCTTCCGTTTTGTTCAACGATGGTTCTTCCGATCATCTGTATCAACCGATGTCGTGTACGGAGACGCTTGGCTCGGAGTGGAGGGACCGGCTACTCCGTCATTTATCCCCATGATTGAACTGACATGGCAAATCCATAGCCAAGCAAAGACCGAGCTGAGTTCTCCAGGATCCATCGCGACTTTTCGGTGCTGCTTATCCACAGCGATCAGCATCAGATCTTGTCTCTCGTTTGGCGAACATATCTGAGGCTCTTTTCGATTTGGAAACAACCGAATCTTGACATGTGATCGTGAGCTCCCTTTCTCATGAAATCTTTGATGGCTCTGGCTGCAAGATGAAGTCGACCTTTTGATACGAGGATACCGCCATGGAGCTTTCTTGTAAACATACTGTCGCAAATGCTTTTTTGACGGTTTATTCCAGCTTTGGAACCGGAAGGCAGTCCGTATTTTGTCCGGAGAAGGGGGTCTTGGGCCCTGGAGGATGGGGTAGCGAACAGCCAGCGATCGAGCTGCCATTGGAGGTCGATCCATTGAGTGGCTGATATCCCCTGCGCTTCTTGGCTTAGAGATGCTATCACCAATCCTATTGGCTTGAAAACGAAGCTAGCACCTATGGTAGATGGTGATAGGACGAGCTCAAAGCCACCGGACGAGTGCTACGCACGACTGCGAGAACTCTTCTCAGTTCATGTCCATTTCCGTCGTTCCCTTTCCCCAATCTGCTGTCTTTACTGATCGTCGTTGATAGTGCACGAGTGCTCAGAGACAAGGTCGGTTTTGATACACCGTATCACAAACAGCCCCCAGGTGGCCATTGTCATTGTCGTCATCTTCGTTTCGGCCCATCACTAGCCGGTCCATGCCCGGGCACATGACGGTAGAACGGGGACGTTGACTGGACGCCATCAATCCCCCACCCTCAACGCAACTGGACGCTCTTCACTGTCCGATCACAATGTGGCCCCCCATGATAACGATTTTCTGAGAAAGGGGGACGTCGGAGAAAAAGGCACGGAAGGCAGTCATCGTCATGGAGAAACGAATGGGGATCGGTTTCCAGCGTAGGCTTCAACCGGCCTGTCGTTTCTGCCGCTCTCCCGCATTTCGGGGTCGCATCCAGCCCTGAAGCAGGTGAGATGATGTTCGTTGCAGAGGAGTTGGAAACCTCCCGTTTCACTCCGTTCTCGTGGCGGCCAGTCCGGGTGGTCGAAGGTCGGGAAGAATTTGGGGACGATAGTACGCATTGCATATAGGTACTGCTCCCCGGGCAGTTTGACAACGTGACAGCGGGTGGTGGCTTGACTGCCGTAGCATGTACGGTATCATGCAAATTGCATGATGCTTTCCGGGAACAACTGCCCCTGTTTAACATGCTTTTAAGGGTTCAAGCAGCCCATGGCAGCAAAGACGTTTGACTTTTGTCATTCTTTTCTTCTTGACTTCCAGCAGTGCGAGTCCTTCTGAATCACCAACGGCTCTGTTGGGACAAAGTTAGCATCCACATGGCAAAGTTAGTTGGTGGTGGAACGGCCCGTTGTCTCTACTTACTGTCGGTAGGGCTGAGGCAGTGCTTGACGAGCTACGGACAAGGAACCCCTTTTGATGCTGAGCCGAACGACAAGGGAATGGGTACCATTCATAGGTGACAAGGGAGCACAATCCCAGAAGCCGAGTGCGAACAATGTTCGGTCGAGACGGTCCAGTGCAATGTGGATGCCTGGCGATTATCCTAACGACCTCAACTGCGCCGTCAATTGTTTTCTCAGTAGGCATATAACGAGAGGAAAATAGGTTTCTATCCAGTCTTACCGTAGCAATGGAACGAGGAAGAGAAGGGAAACCGGTCAACGGCAATTTCCACTCCTCGTCATCACGGCGGTCTGGAAGCGTCGAAGCGAAGAATTTTCGTTCGCAGCCCCAAGAGGGAAGGTGCGACTCGACAGCCTCGTGAGAGTTACCAGCTGAACAGTCGTCGCTTCCATGCGATGGGATGGGTCTGGTAAACCCGGAAGGAAAATGACTGCCTTGCGCGCCAAATCCGGCTACCCAATTCATCTCTACAAGGCATCAGCAATCCAATTGAGAATAATCTATTGGCGTTTACCCCAATGTCACCAATATCGCCTTACACCGTACCTTTTTCTGTGAAATGTTAATCCAAAAGTGCACATCGACACCTAATGATATCGCTCCCGTGTTCCCCAGCAGGCAGGCTCCCTCGTGTTCTCTGTATCCCCCATTCCCAAGTGTTACTGCTGCTTCTTCCCTCCCTTTTCCCCAATTTAGTGCCACCAATTACACGACCAGACTCGGACAAAAGAAAGAAGTCATGTCGCCGTCACACACATCCTCGCGTCACACCCGTTTCTCGTTTCTCGTTTCGTAGGTTGGGTCCAGAGCAACCAAGGTGAATAAATGATCAAAGACAGGAATGGAAAGAGTACTTAAGGTGACGCACGCACACCGTGACACCACACGCCGTTCCCCGTGGGGAGGTGTGGTTGCGCCGTTCGAGGATTGGATATACCGGTAGCTGAGATCATTCCCATGAGGCATGAATGTCGTCCAAGGAGGAGGAGAAAGATTAAAAGAGGAATGGCATCGCCACCACAACATTTGTTTCAACTCCATGAATCCCTTAGCTCGGTGCTTCCCCAACTCTCTTTCTCATATGCTGTCATCTGGATCGATATCACCCTTTTCGGTTGCTGAAGTTGTACAGAGGAAGCTGAAAGATGGCCCGGGGATCAGGCAGCCTACACACTACTACATCACTGCTTTTCGGTATGTGTTTGCTGCTGAGTTCCGTACTAACTGTAAAAGCTTCTATCCGCCATACAAACAAGTTAGTGCTCATCTAGTCTCCCAACACTCTCACCATCAATAGTCCAATCAGATCAAACACCCATACTGACTAGCTACGTATGGTGACGGAATCCGAACCTCATGCACTCCGACAAGACAAGGTTGTGATGCGCACCCAATATTCGCCCACATTCCAATTCTCAAAAGTGCCATATCGTATCGCAACTGGATACAAGTATCGACAACCCTCGGATCGGAAAAGAACAGGAATCAGATGGATATCCGCGTACGGTACCGCATGTATGATCCAGGACGCCCTAGAACTAGACATCAGATAGCGCACATCTTTCTCGAGTCATGCCGACGATGCCACCCTCGAGCCCACCGCGCGCCACTGACGTTCTAGACTAAAACTCTCAACTGTCATGCTGAACGACGTCAATCGTAGAGATGGGAAAATGTTCCAACGCTTTTGGGGGGTCGGCTAGGTGTAAGTTGGAAGCCTCTATACTACGTACCTACGTACGTATAGTCGGAGTACATATTTCCTTCCGTCGCATATTCGGTCAACGGAGTACTGGTAAGCCCATAAGCCCATAAGCCTTCTACTGTAAGCCCTAAACCAAACAGAGTACATGTGTATCAGCAACTGAAAACCAAGGGAAACAACGGTAACTTCATCTCAAAGCCACAACGGCACGGTTTTCTTTTCTAACCGGCAACAGCAGCCAACGTTCAATACTTCCCGTCGATATTACCAACATACTTCTGACACGGCATGGCGCGCACATGCCCACACATGCCCACACAATAAGCTTCTTACTGTTTGTTGTCTATGTATGTGGACTACTACGAGGGCCTGCGGGCCGAATCCCTCCTTTCCTCCTTTCCAGGAGAAAAATATTGAATCTAAACAAGCCTCACATAAGTTATCCTCATTCCGGAACAGGTAACGTTTGCGGCGCAGCAGCCTGTACAAAAAAAGTACTTGACAGTATAAGTATATATCGATGGTGACAAGGAAGTCAGGTGAAGGAGAGGTGAGGTGGCATGGAAGTTCAATAAAGCGCAGTATCGGAATCTCTGAAACTTCAAAAGTTCGGTTCTTGTGTGTCCAACTGGGGCGGCGTTGTCCGGCGTTTTTTTGCGGCGCAAGAGGTCATCGATGACTTCATACCGAATACCATCTTGATTCCAACCAACATCGCGGATACCGGGCAATATCTGATATGGCCATGGAATAAATGAGGGATTCTGAAACAAAAAAGTTACTTCCAAGTTCTTCAGAGACAACGCAAAGAATTGGCAAGGCAGACACACTTAAAGATATTAAGGACTCGTCCAATGTACACACAACAGGGAAGCGGAAGCACGCACCCGAAGTAGTCACAGTCACGAAGAACTAATTTCAAGAGAATAAACGTTTTGTGAATCGACAGATAGGATATGAATTCACCAATGGTATATGCGCATGGAAAGTCATCAAACCCGCCTCCATCTAAAAAGAAAAGACTAAACGCCAAAAGAACCCAAGCCTGCTCGGTAAGACAGCATGGCAAACCCCAACTCCGGCCCGTGATTTTCATTTCTCAGTTCCCATCATAAAAAATTCCCTTTTTTTCCCATTCCAAGTTTCACAAACGGTAAAGAAAAGACCGCTTAGTTCTTGATCCACCAGTCACCCTGGTCGTGCATGGCCTGGGCGACCTTGACGAAACCAGCAATGTTGGAGCCGGCAACGAGGGAAGGAAGCTCGCCCTC